GCTGGAGTAGGTGATTTTGCCCTCAGGCCTCCCTCCAAAGCCACCCCCGCACAAAACGGCCTGATTAGTCACGACATAGAGGGCTCATAGAGGGCGTTTTCATTTACATTGGTGTTGGACTAATACATAATGTAGCTGCATAAGTAGCTGCTATGCTGGCTACACTGTAAAATGTAACAATTGCACTAAATTTTTTTGGGTTTACTTTACTCATCTGTTACACTTACTAATGCAAATCTAGTAACATATACTATTTCTTGTATAATCCTTAGTTACTTAGGGAAAGTTAGTTGGGATCACTTAATTTGCATAAGTCCTACAGACTGAAGCGTATTTTGCCTAAGTCAACACAACATGAATACCACAGAAAGTTGGAGTAACTTAATCAGACAAATTCAAACCAACTCAAAAATGAATTCTTGAGATAGTAACTCTGTCATTTTGAGTAAAATCATTTGTCAGCATATTTTGAGTTAAGGTAACTTTATTCAAGTGTTTTATGTTCAATATTTTTTATTTAAGTTGACTTTACTGGTCGGTGCAGACAGGGTTGGGTTTACATTTGAATGATTTGGACTTCACATGCTTTTCATGCAACTTTTGACAACTTTGGACATTTAAATGGGATCTTTGAGTTGAATCAACCTCTTGCAATTTAGTTTAGTTTGTTAAGACTCCTCAGCTTTACTTGATGAAAGCTTGGTCAATGCAACCTTGAGTAAAACTTGCATCATTTCTGTTGGCTCTTTCCTAAATTTTGGGAGCTCATTTTATCTCAGTCAGTGCTGACTGTAGATCAGTGCTGAGTAAGCTGAGCAACTATAACTTCACCTGCTGAATGTGGTTCTGAACACTTCAGCTCACTTCTGCGTTCTGGGCTGAATTGTCAGTATTGGGCGAGATGGTCCAGAGCAGTATTAAGTTAAACTGTTTAAGCCATTCTTGTCAAAAGTGTTCTGCCATTCAGTATAAATTTGTTAAAATTAAAGCCTACTTTAGCTTTTAATGGAAGAAACTGAGTTAGCTGAACTTGAGTGGCTAGAGTTGTGTAAAGGCAGTAAATATAAGTTAGAATGACTTAATTGACTAAGTCCAAAATGCTGAATCATTTTAAGATCAAAGGAGTGATTTACTCAGTTTACTTAAGTGTATACAGCAATAAACAAATGTGTTGTTCAGGGAATTACTCATGGTCAAATGAATTGAGTAACCTAAACTTAAATGGTTTAAGGCAATCAGTTTCCTTAAACCATTTGAGTTCCCCTTACTCATCAGATTTGGGTTACTTACTTACACTGAACTCATTCGGTTCTACAGTGTACATAATTCAGGAAAATAATAAATTCCCCCCATAAACAAGACAAGATAATTACCCATCCAACAGAAAAATAGCATCCTAGGTGTCGCTTTCCAGGCCTTTTAGCTCCCTCAGGTTTTGTGACCAGTGGACCCATATGGAAAAATATATATAACTATATAACTATATAACTATATATATATATATATATATATATATATATATAATTATATTAAAACTACATACAATTGAAATAATAACAAATACAAATTAATGCATTTTAAATATATATTTAACAAATACATTTTTAGGCCATTTTCATACATTGCAAAAATATATTTGATAAATACATTGGGAATATGCATTTGTCCATATGGGGAAAGCCACACTTATGCTCACTCTGGTTTGACTTCTTGCTTTATCTAACCTCTTTCTGCTCGAAGCCTTTTCTCCTTCTGTCTTTTCTTTCTTTTTTCTATGGTGAGCTGTTGTAGGTACCTGTGTAACTTCCTCCATCATTCTTGTGAACCAAGCTCACTGTGTGTGTGTGTGTGTGTGTGTGTGTGTGAGTGTGTGTGTGTGTGTGTGTGTGTGTGTGAGTGACAGACTCCACACATGCGCAGATGAGTACATGAGCAGAGCACGTGCATGTGAGTAGGTCATCAGGCATGTATGTATGTAGACAGGCAGGGAGGCCGTGGAATGAAATGACGGGACAGGGTTTTTACAGTGCTGCGGCCTACAATATAACAAAATTGTTTCCAAAAATCAATCACCTACTCCACCTTCAATCCTTTAACTGGTCTAACAACACTTCAGTGAAGGTTTAGGCACATCTGCTCACTTCTGATCATCTCTGAGTTCATTTGTCTTTTATCCTCAGTCTATAGAACCTTTTTGGTAATGGTTCTATGTAGCACCAAAAAGAGTTCCTCTGCTGTTTATGATGTCAAGCATGTAACAATAAAAGAGCCCTTCTTGATTCTATATAGAACCATATACAGCACATAGTCTCCATCAATCTGAAGAACCATTTCACCATGCAAAGAAGCATTTAAGCAGGAAAACTCGTGCCTCTAAATAGAACCATTTTTAAGAGTGTAGTACATGAAATGAATCATTCCAGTTAATTAGAATTTAATGTGATTTACTTGAATTCATTAAGTACGTATTTCTCTATTAAGTATCTTAAAAGCTACTTTTTGTGTGGCACCATTTGACATAGCATTTTAATCTAACGCTCCAATTTTTTCCCCTTTCCCGCTCTAGGACTGACAAGTAGAGTCCTGCATCCACCACAGAGTAATTTTCCTCATTTCACAATCACACTTTGTTGATAGATTGGAGATCCCAGCATGACCAAAACAGCAGCGAGTAGTCAGTCAGCTAGTTTAACAGATTATAACAAAACATTACGCCGACAACAACAGTAGTTTAAAAACAACTACAACAACAGTAGTATGACAACAACATTTCTCGGTACAATGTAAAAGTACCTTCAAAGGTACAAACAGTGGTTTTAAGGTCTGATTGTGAACCGTAAATTTTTTTTTAAGTTTTTCCAGGTGAAAATTTTGTATTTGTACCTTTTCATAACCGAATGTTTTAAAACAGAACAGTAAAATAAAAGCCTGGAGACGAGACGGGGTGTGTGGAGTCAGTACAGCTTAGAACATATCATTTCAGTGGATTATGGTTCAGTTATGTTCCCTGACTAAAGGTACTGAAATGAATCCTTGAGGGGACCACCCCAGTGAGAAGGGCGGTACTGCCCCAGAGACAGTTTACTACCTTTATTTCTGAGACTGTAGCTGTAGACTGTTTATTATCACCACAATTTCACAATACATAACACAACGTTTCACAGTAAAATACTGCATTCATCATTTTATTGTGAAATCAACTCATCTTAAGATATTTTCTCTAATAACAGAGAAAATTACTTTGATGTTGGGCTGTACAGCACAATATTATGGGATATGAGTTAAAAGACATATTTAATAGAAGCATTTTAAGTGTTTTTATTCTGATGGTGTTTTAAAAAATTTATGCTGGATTTTTTAAGGTGTTGATAAAAATCTTATGGTTTTAAGTTACTGGGCATGTTTTTGCTAATTATAAGCAAGGTTTAAATGCCTGTAAAATGTGTATTTGCATTTTAAAATAGCATATTCTCTGCATTCTGTGCACACATAGAGCAAAACATGGTAATTAAATGTTAACATTATTAAAATTGTCTTTTTAAATTACAAGAATATGCATAAGTCTTATAAAATGAAGTATTTGTTCATATGTAAATTCAGAGAACTTTACTGGCTACTGCCTTGCATTGTTTTTACAGTTGTTATGTAAAAATACAGGAAATTACTGTATTTTAATTACAGCTTATTACTGTAAGTGCAGATGACTTTGGACTCACAGTTTATAGTTGCTGGTTTACTGTTAATTACTGTTAATATTGTTCAGTAATTACTGTGCAAGTAAAACTAGGAGTCTGTCATTTTACAGTGATTTTTTAATATTGTAATAATAATAATAATAATAAATTATATCAGCATATAACAATAGAACAATAATAACATGGTTATTCGTCAAGAATTAGTTTTCACATTCACATATAAAAAATTATTACGATGTAAACAAAGTCATTCAGAGTGGTTTGGTGTGAAAAGCTCTGTTTACAGTGGTGGTGACAGGAACCAGACGTCCACCTCTAAAAGCTCCCTCACAGAAAGTTATTACACACAATGGTTATGGATATTCTGCCTGATGACTGTTTAAACAAGTTCTGAGATCAGATTTTGGCCTAAAACTCCTTTTTATAGATGACTGGTGGAGAGGTACATACAGGGCGTTATAATGCGCAACAGTCCCCAAACAAAACTTTTTCCAGCTTTACCTTTAATTTACCATCATCAACATTACAAATAAAACTCAGAAGACTTGTGTAGGTTCACTGGTGGTTTTGGACAGTACATAAAATGTGCTGCATTCGTACTGTGACGCCTGGTTCCTATCATCACCACTGTAAAGAAAACAAACTGTAAGTTTCTCTACAATAACCAATTCACATCAAACCACAAATAAATGACTTTATTTACAAAAGGAAAAATGAATTTCTTTTTAATTTCCATGAAAAACCTCCTTTTGTTTCTTTCGTGGGTGAAAAAAAGCATTTCTATTTTTATCCTAGCTGCCTTCTGGCTAACCACCACTCACCAGTCACTGTTTAAACTAGTTCTGGGATCAGATTTTGGCCTAAAACTCCTTTTTCTAATAGATGACTAGTGGAGAGGTACATACAGAGCGTTATAATGCGCAACAGTCCCCAAAGAAAACTTGTTCCAGCTCTCTTTAATTTACCATCATCAACATTACAGACAAAACTCAGAAGACTCGTGTAGGTTCACTGGTGGTTTTAGACAGTACGTAAAATGTGCTGCATTTGTACTGTGACGCCTGGTTCCTATGACCACCACTGTAAAGAGAAACAGTCTGCAAGTTTCTCTGTAATGAACCATTTTACACCAAACCACAAACAAATGAAAATTTTCATGAAAAAAAGCTCCCTTTGTTTCTTTCGTGGATGAAAAAAAAAGCATTTCTAATTTTATCCTAGCTGCCTCTTGGCTAACCACTAAGCACTGACCAATCACAGCGAGGGAGGGGCGGGGCTTAGCTGAAACGGGGGCGGGGAAATAAAAACAATGCCGGCAGGCCGGGAGTGTAAGCACGGTGGTGTCCCTGCTTCCTCTTCCCCCCCCCAGCAGCAGAGATCTCCAGGAATCGGTCTGAAGTCAAACATGAGATCCTCACACTGAGGAGGAACCCACAGCTGATCTCAGTCACAGCCAGCCGAGCTGTGTGAGCGGACAAAGACGAGAAAGCGGAGTTTTAACGCTTGTTGTGATTAGCGCGGCGAGGAGACTCGGCCCGGCTCGCCACGTCCAGAGAGCGGAGACTGTAGACGGGTTTAAGTCTGACAACTTCTTATCTTTGTCTTTGAACGTGATATAAGTGTTACTTCGACCGAGGTGACCGAGGTCGTCGTAACTGCTGCATGGACACCCGGCCGTCGTGTTGGCGCTGAAGTCCTTGAGTCAGGTAAGAAGGAAGGACAAACAAACTCACATCAGCCTAGTTGGAAAACTTAATGGCCTGTTTTAGACTCCACAGTCCCGAAACAGGCAGCTCAGCTCAGCCGCTGTGACTACAACCACAGAGAAGAGTCCCTTTCTTAAAGGGGACCTCCACTGATTTTCCAAAATTCCTCCGAAAATTAAGCGCTTTAGATGTAGTCGTTCAGAGTAGTTTGGTGTGAAGTGCTCCGTTCTAGCGAAACTTGGCTACCAGGTCAGACTTGTTTACGCTGGTGGTGATAGGAACCAGACGTCCACCTCTAAAAGCTCCCTCCCAGAAAGTTATTACGTGAAATGTGTGTGAATGCTTAGCCTGATGCCTGAGACACTGTTTTGAGACGAGATTTCTCCCCGAAGGTCATTTTTTTAAATGCTTTGACAGTAAAGATGGTGTTATAAGACAAAATAGTCCCAAAGAAAACTTACCTTTTCCAGATTTATGACTATTTCACCACCATCAGCGTCACATATATAAATCCAGAATGCCTGTAGGTTCACTGGTAGTTTTGGACAGTAAACATAATGGCTGTATTTGTGTAGAAGACACTGTGACCCCTGGTTACTGCCACCACCACTGTGAAGAAATCTGAGCGGGCAAGTTTTTAATCAGTGAAATTCCCCTTTAAGTACTCAGTGACGTATAGAACTGCACTGGAGCTTCTAAGTACATCCAGCATGAGAAGTGAAGTTTGGCTCTGTTCCTCTGGTTTGGTCCTTTTAGCCTAAAGTAAAAGGACAGAGGTGTGAGAGTCCCTCAAAACAATTAAATGAATTGAATGTATACACCGATCAGGCACAACATTATGACCACCTCCTTGTTTCTACGCTCACTGTCCATTTTATCAGTTCCACTTACTGTATGGATGCACTTTGTAGTTCTACAGTTACAGACTGTAGTCCATCTGTTTCTCTGCATCCCCCTTTTACCCTGTTCTTCAGTGGTCAGGACCCCCATGGACCCTCACAGAGTACTATTTGGGAGGTGGATCATTCTCAGCACTGCAGTAACACTGACGTGGTGGTGGTGTGTTAGTGTGTGTTGCGCTGGTCTGAGTGGATCAGACACAGCAGTGCTGCTGGAGTTCTGTCATCAAAACCTTTAATGTTGAAATGGAGAATTTCTTCTCTGATGGATCTGTTTTAATGCACACCAGGCGTAATTATTCTGTTATTATGGACTATTATTATATTAATTGTGGGAGATGTGGCAAAATTATAATGTCACAATATTTCAGGGCACCTTCTCGATTCAGTATGTAGATCACTATGTTTAGTTTTTCTAAGTTTGATAAGTTTGAACACTGAAAAAGCCCTGATACAAAAAAAAATAGTTTGAAAAGTGATGAGTAAAATTTTATTCAATGTATGTACTTTGCTGTGCTAAATCCAAATAAACAGGACTAATTCAGCTCTCATTATAATGAAATATGCTGTTGTTCAGTGTTCTTTAAAGCTGCACTACGTAAGATACGGGGATTTGGCAACCTCTCTGGTGGAAATGTGTAACTGCACGAGGAGAAGACGATTTATAACGTGAGTTGTAATGTGATAAATTTGATGATTGCGAGCACGTTTAAAGAGGATTCAAAGAGAACTTGGTCAAAACTTGGAGAAGGACGCGTCTTCTGAGGATTTAAGTGAATTATCTACTATTGTCATCAAATCTTCATCAGTATAAAGTTGATTTTTGCATTTGAGACCTAAACATCGATCCAGACCTTCTATCTGAGCCTGACGTTAATATGTAATGGTGAATACCATGGTCTAACAAATTCCCACAAAACCTGACACAACAGACTTTTAAATGATTATTTCATTTATTTATTTATTTATTTACTCTCAGTAATGCTACTTATTTCAACTTAACCAAAAAAAATCTTACATAGTGCAGCTTTAAGTACTGATGATCACAATATCTTCAGGAAAGTATATTGTGATGTAATTTATCACTATAACGATAAATATCCTCATATTTCCAGCCTCTATCTATTAGATGTGTTGGGTACAATAGCTAAAAGCATCAATGGGAATTAAACAACAATCCCTTGTATATGTAGGTCATTGTATCCTTTGTCAGCAGGTGCACTGCTGCCTCACAAACAGCTCACTGTTTAACTTTCTGAACGAATAGCCTCACCAGAAAGAGGGAGACGTGACTGTGTCTTCTTTCTGCTGCCTCTTGCGCGCCTTTAAACGCAGCAGATCTGCTTTAGATCAACTATTAGTACTGATGACATTCAGATAAGCAGCTGAACGTGTTTTTTTAGGCAGAGTTGTGGCTTTTCGCCTACGTCATACAGCCGCGTTAACGGCGGCTGGCTTTCTGAAGAGGGGAGGGATGGGCCTGATCATGTGTAGAATGTCTATAACGTGGACAGACTGGAAGTTCCAGGTTCGTCTGTGTGATGTGAATATCAGCACTTTTGCTTTCACTTCTCTGATACTTCCCTCATATAGTGGCGTTTAGATCCATTTGACAGATATGGTTACGCTGTATGCGTGTCTGCTCATGTAATATCTCATACTTCTTATCAGCAGGTCAGCCTTAAGAAAGCTGTTACTTTCATTTACTATCCAGTTTCAATGTAATTGCAAACATGTTAGAAACATCTACCTTGTATTTCCACCCACTGGCCACTTTATTAGAAACCCCTACATTATGCATCCACTTGCTGGCCACTTTATAAGAAACACCATCCCTGTGCTTCTACTCACTGGCCACTTTATTAGAAACCCCTACAATGTAATTACACACGTGTTAGAAACATCTACCTTGTATTTCCACTCACTGGCCACTTTATTAGGAACACCTACATTTTGTGTCCTCTCGCTGGCCACTTTATTAGAAACACCATCCCTGTGCTTCCACTCCCTGGCCACTTTATGAGAAACCCCTACATCCTGTGTCCACTTGCTGGCCACTTTATTAGAAACACCATCCCTGTGCTTTCACTCACTGGCCACTTTATTAGAAACCCCTACAATGTAATTACAAGCATGTTAGAAACATCAAACTTGTATTTCCACTCACTGGCCACTTTATTAGAAACACCAACCTTGTGCTTCCATTCACTGGCCACTCTATTAGAAACCCCTACATGATGTTTCCACTTGCTGGCCACTTTATTAGAAACACCATCCCTGTGCTTCCACTCACTGGCCACTTTATTAGAAACACCAACCTTATAGGTCCACTATATAGGCGTACACTCACAGATTGTAGCCTTTTATCTTGTGTAGATAATTTGTGAGGCACACACCATTTACTCATTGGTCAGTTTCTGAACACAGGACTGTGTTCTCCATAGTAAAACCAAGCTCATATTTTCTACACTGAAAAAGGTCTAAATTAAATTTTACCTGATTCAACCATCATTTCCAAAAGTAAGTGAATTAAATGACGAAGTCGTGTTGCTGAAATCTAACTTATTGATGTGCAAGTGATTGTACACATCTGACTCATGTAAGTTCAGTGCATTGCTTTTTTCACAGTTATGGGAGGGGTACTGCAGTGAGAGGAAGGGCTTTGTCATTTAATAGGAAGAGTGTAGAAGAAGCCACAAGGAAACATCACGATTGCATAATTTAATCGGAGGTTTTTGTCAACTGGGCAGTCTGACAACATAAGTAAGCACATGTCAATGCATTCCAGTATTGCATATGCATCAGGAACGAGTTACCAGACCACTTCACTCTGGAATATTGTTTCAGAGGGGGATGCCCAGGCCTGAGAATAGTTTGTGAAGTCAGAAGTCCTTCAGGTGGCTGATCAGGTCTGTGTGACCGTCTCAGAGGGCGTTCACCAAAATAATTGTCTTTTGTTGGAACATAAATACATCCTGTAGGTGTTCTAGTACGTATTATTAAGCAGTATAATTGGTTTGCATATAACAGCCATCTGTGGTAACAGTCACTGTTGCGTTAACGATTAACACGTGTTGTGCATCCTAATACAAATGTTTTGGATGTTCAATTAAAGCATCTATAAACTGGAGGGTGACTGATATGAAAATTGTGTGACCCAAACCAATATAATTTTATAGATCAATATCATTGGCTTGGCTTATTAATAAGCTGTTATTAACTTACTGTCAGTAAGTTGTTCTTAATCTTCTTCTTCTTCTTCTTCTTCTTCTTCTTATTATTATTATTATTATTCCACAGCAACACCTTAGCAACTAGCCAGGTTACCATAGCAACTGCCTAGCAACACCTTAGCAACCACTTGGGATACCTTAGCAGCTTCCTAAAACCACCTTAGCAACTACCTGGGATACCATAGCAACTTTGTAAAAACACCTTAGCATCCACCTGGGATACCGTAGCAAATTTCTAAAAACACCTTAACAACCACTTGGGATACCATAGCAGTCACCTAGCAACACCTTAGCAACCAGTTGTGATGACCATAGCAAATGCATACCCGCAATACCTTAGCAACCACCTGAGATAGCATAGCAGCCACCTCACAACACCTTAGGAACCACATTGGATAAAATCTAAGCAGTGTAGGAGCCTTAGCAACCTGAAATACCATCAGAACCACTGTTTACGCTGGCAAATAACAAAATGAACACCTTTAGCTTTCAGTAACCCCAAACTCACACATACACACTGTAAGCGATCAAGTTGAAAGTTTACGATCACTTAAACCTTTTAGTGGGTTGCTCTTTTAGATTAACAGTTAGAGGAACACCTCAGGCACTTCATTGGCAATTCTGATCTAGAACCTGCCAAGTTTGCAGTTGGAACAAGTTTGGATGGTTAGTTTTGCTTTCAGTGCACGAGTTTAACCCTCTGGTGCTGGCATAACCTTTGCTTTCACACGAGAAGCGAGAACGAGACTAGAATGCAGAACCGTGCTGTGATACCCACAGTTCAGCGTGTTTCCGCGGGATCTTGAGAAACGCCATATGAGAGTGATTCACAATGACGTGAGGTTTAATAGAAGAGCTCTTGAATGTGTTGGAATTGTGTGTGTTCTCTGGAGCTCAGTTGTAGCTGGAGTGTCCACTGTACTGGTCTTCTCTCTTTCTCTCTCAGGGATGTCTGTGGAGGTAGTTGGACCTCCCTCGCCCACTCCCTCTCTCATCGAGGTGAAAGAAGAGACGCGCTTGGTGCTGAAGAGTTTTCTTCGCAAGGCTCTCTCCGCCGCCCCGGCGGACCGTCCTGGGAGGATCGGGGGTGAATACCACGACCCCAACAAGTTCAGGTATTTTATTTGTCTGTGATTTGATGATGGCTGTTATCGTGCTCACTGCGTGTTAGCTTAACCAGAGCTATCCTGTCGGGTTTAATTCAGCATTTGGGGTTACAATGAAATGTTATATTAGAACGGAATTTGTTTTAGATGATGTGGGTCGGGTCGGGTTGGGTTCAGACCAAATTTAGCTGGGCTTGAGTCAGTTTGGACTGAAATTTCAGGCCTGATTGAAGCTCTGATCTGCTCATTGGCTTTTTTTATTATATGTTTCAGAGGAATTCAAAGAAGCATTCAGAATCGCCTGTGCTAATCAGCAGTGATGTACAGATGTGATAAAGTTTAGAAAAACTTACCGGCTCAGATTTCCTTACAGTGGTGTTGATGGGAACCAGCGATGTCTACAGCACAAATACAGCCTTTTTATTAACTGTCTCAAACCACCAGTGTACCCACATGTGTCTCTGAGTGTTTGTGTTACATTGATGGTAAAATAGTGGCACAGCTGAGAAAAAAAAAAATTTCTTTGAGGACTATTTTGCCTCACAACACACATGTGCCTCTCCGCCATGAATTTATTAAAAAAAAAACACATATTAGCCTAAAACTACTGTGAAACAAGGTCTTAGAAATCAGACAATGGCTGCAGAAAATCAGATTTTGTCAGTCATCCGTTCAATACGTTTACGTGAACTTGCTTAATCAGATAATGGGAAAATAGGCAATAATCAAATTTCTGCTTTGCAACCGACCAATAAACTCACAGAAGAAAACGTGACGTAAACGTAACATAAAACTCAAACTTCGTGCCGCGGCCTTTTTGTTAAAACATTGCCTTACCTGAAAATATGAACATAGATCATATAGAAGATGAAGAATATTTAAATCCTTCATTTCGTCAAACATGTATTTGGTTCCAGCGTCGCTCCGAAAGTGTTGTGTTGTGCTGTGTTAAACGCTGCTTGCTTATTTCCGGTACCACGGCCTGTTTTTACACCTGCGCAGACTAAGAAATCCAAAATAATCTGAGTAAAATAAGAGTTTACATGCACTGAGAAATCTGATTACTGTAGTAATGTAGTAGTGCTACATTTTAAAAAATACTATCAAAAACTGTGAACACAACAATTTTTATTAAATATTTGTCACTCCGTGTTGCTCTAAGTCAGGGGTGTCAAACTCAAACCACTAAAAGGGGCATATTAAAAAATCTCAGCTAGTCCATGGGCCAGCAGAAATTAGCGCTTTTTTGTCGTGTTTGATATACAGTATCATCAATTTGCCATGTTGTGCGAGGGACAGAGCGCTGCTTCAAGTTAGCCAGCTGCTAAAAACAGCTAGCCTAGCATTCTCCCGCTCTCCGATGCCACACAGACACACAGCGTCCTCAGTTTACTTTCGTATAAATCAGAGCTGTAACTGGCATGAACCCACTTCTTTCTTTCACTTTCGGGAATGCACTAATACTAAAATATGACTGAGCGCTATAATAGTGCTGTAGTTGTGAGGAGCAGACGTGATTTAACGCTGCTAAAGCTGGTTAGGATGTACAGAAAGAGGTGAGTTCGCTGTAGGACAGTACAGTTACGCCACTGATCTGGTCACTCACACTTGGTCACAGGAGAGCAGATCGCCGGTCGCTCCACTCAAACAGGGAATGTATAACTCCATGTTTCAGACGTTGCTAAAGTATATTTGATGACTCCTCTTACTCGTCGCCCCCTCCCTTTCTAATCATGTCAAAACTCGGAAGTGCGCCCTCTCCTGGCAACAGCAGAGTAGTGGCATAGTAGAAAACGCCACGTCTGTCGCTAGAACATGGAAGTGTGAGAATGCTCTATGATATCAAACATTTATTGAACATTTCTTATAGCTCTATCGAGGAAAGTTATATTGCGATAATTATTGTTATCATTTTATCGCCCATCCCTACCATAAAGGATAGTTTAAAACCATGATTAACCACTCAGGAGCAAAAATCAGCCTTCAAGTTTGAAAGAAAAAATTTGATTTGATTTATCGCGATATGTATCGATATCGACCGACATGAAATGTTTTTATAGTGATAACATTTTTGGCCATATCGTCCAGCTCTAACTGGCCATTGTTAAATTCAAAATATGCCAAAACTGGGTAACACTTTATTTGGATGGTCCACTGTAGATAGCTTGTAGATGCTCAATATATCTTTTAAGTAACATTCAACTAAATATCTAATAAATGCAGCTGAACTTGAAGTTGAATGTGAAAGATTCTATTAAATCTATCACTTACCCTAAACCCAACCTCAAGGCAAAACCTACACCTAGTCCTAAACCTAACTCCAACCATGATGTTGTTGATGATCAACTGAGAGAAAAGAAAACTTTCACCAGAAAGTTTGTTAATGATTTAAGAGTCTGTAGCTTCTATAGGGGACCATCTAAATAAAGTGTGACCCAAAACTGCAACAGCAAAAAATAAGCACTGTATATTTGAACTATTCAAAAATAATAATAAAAAAGGCTTTATATAAAACAATGGGCTACAGTAGCTACAGATAACTGTTAAACCTCTTTAAATGTCCCCAACTTCGACATCTTTTCTTTTTATCGTGCTGTCCCATAGACGCACATTATGTTGCAGTGCATGCTGGGGATTGTAGTGCAGCTCATGGTGAAACGGGCTAATATTAATAGAAAATTTAAATAATTTGAAGAGGACTGTGTGACAGGCCTGACTTGGCCCACGGGCCTTGAGTTTGACACATTAGCTCTAGATCCAGTTGAATGTGATTAATTTGCTCTCTTTATAATGAAACAGACATTTGGTCAGTATTCTACAAGCTGCCGAAAGCATATTGTGTTTTATTGTGACAATTTATCACAATAATAATATTGTCATACTTGTTCTTAAAAATGTTCCTGAGACCTTAAAAATGTTCACTCTCACATGTAAATAACCTCAGTAAACCAGTCACACTGTTGGAAAAGAAATTGTCCAATTGTAAAATGTATATAGTAGATCAGGAGCCCTGTTTGGCCCTAAACTGTGTTCACTGCTGCTATTATAAGTGCTGATTTTGTCTCATGGATGTGGTTCTTTGTCTGTGTCCCAGTGCATTGTTGAAGGAGAAGCAGGGGAAAGAAGAGAGTGGGTGGGACTCTCTGGATGAACAGATAAGTGCGGCGGAGGAGAAGAAGCATGGGATTAAAAACCTGATAAAGAGGCGATTGAGGCCGCGTTCGACCGCGTCAGGAAAATCAAAGAAAGATGGCAACGCTGACCAATCACAGAGTAGCCATTCACAAAATGGCACTCTGGAGAGACAGTCGGGACAAGAGAAGGGGCTTTCATCCAAGAACGGCAGCGCTACCATCAGGTCACTCATAGAGGTGAAGGAACAAGGGCTTTTTCCTCATAATAAAATACTATTCTAAGCCATTTCATAGAAATTCTATAAACAAAATAAATTAAAAAAGCTTACAGTTTCCAGAAGCCAACGTTTTCTACTTCTTTTTTACTGGGCTTTTTCAGTCGTGGCTGATATTTCTGTCTGTTCTCCTGCAGGATGAGAAGTCCTCTGCGTCTGAAGAGGAAGGGGAACGAAAATCGGGTGAAAAGAAGAAAAAGAAGAACAAAATAAAACTGTCAGACCTTTTTTTAAAGAAAAAGAGCTTTAAGAAAGAAGATCGTCCTGTGCGGCCATCTTCGCTTCCCATCGACAAGGACCAAGGCCCCTCTAAAGCCGCCCTGTCGCCGTGTAAGTTTGCACCCACACATGGAGAAATGATGACCACAACACAAGTATAGCTATTTTGTTTCCCATCCAAAACCACCAGTGAACTGAAACATGTATTCTTTAACTTAAACATATACGTATATCCAAAATATGTTATCATTTTTTACTTAAAAATGTAAGTATATCCAAGATATGTTACAATTTTGAGTTCATTGAACTTAATAATAAGTTAACAGAATGTAAAATGCACATTATTTTCCTGATAATTTATTGTTCCAAGTTTAATGAATGAATGAAATTAGTAAGTCACTTAAGGTCACTTTTTTACATTAAAACATCAAACCATTTTTTACAGTGTTTATGTAATGTTGATAGTGGTAAAATAGTTCCAAATTAAAAAATATAAGTTTTCTTTGGGGGCTTTTTTGCCTCCTGAATGGTTATTGTACAAATATTTTAGGCCGAACATTCTCAAAACTTTCATAAAAACAAAGGCATAAAAACTTTCTGATAGGTACATTTAAATGTAATTACGCTGTGACTGAAGTTTGGGGGAAGAACATGCCTGAAACCCCTCCTTCTTCCAATCAAACGCCCTATGAATTCGCATCCTCACCTTCCGCTTCCGTGACGAATGGTTCGCAATCCCACCGCCCAATCTCCTCCCTGTTACTCAGTCCTACATCAGTCCTACATCAGTCCTACTACAGCTATGAGGGGGATCTGGCCTTCTAGCTACAGGCGGAAGCTGCCCAGAACTCCAGCCCAAGTTCTCAGAGTTCTCCCCCCTCCCTCAATCAGCCTTCCCTCATACTACCACCACCATGTTGTTGGCATTAGCTGAACTCACCAAGAGGCATTAAACGCTTCAGACGTTCAGTTCCTGTCACCACCACTGTGAAAAGTTACGACAGTAGTTTCTCTGGAATGGAGCAAACCCTGTCTGAATGACTTGGTTTACATCTGAACCATGTAATTACAGACAACTTTTGAAAAATGTGTGGAATTCCCCTTCAGTGCAGGACTGTGAATCAGATCAGTCGTTCCCGAAAGTGCCTCAAACATGCACTAATTACTAGTGGTTGCTGTTATTACTTATGCCTCCACCAGCTGCTCTCCTACTGTAGGAATATGAACATAAATAATATGTAAATGTGTATGTTTAGCTTTTTATCATTTGAGAAATATCACTAAAGTTCGGCCTTTTCTATCTCAAAGTGACGCGGAGAAACTTGTTCATGCATTTGTTACAAGCAGAGTTGATCACTGTAATGATCTTCTTACTGGACTTCCTAAGAAAACAATACATCCTTTACAACTCGTACAAAATGCAGCAGCATCGTAACAAAAACTAAACAGAGAGATCACATCACTCCCGTTTTAAAAGAGCTGCACTGGCTGCCTGTATCGTTCAGGATAGATTTTAAAGTTCTGTTACTAGTTTTTAAGGCTCTAAATGACCTTAAAGCACCGCTTACATCACAGAGTGTCTGTCTGTTTATGATCTTAGATCTGCAGATACTGACCTTCTGTAAACTTCAGTGACTTGCAGTTTCTTTTCAGTGACTTTTCAGTGACTTTCAGTTATTCTGCTTCTAAACTGTGGAGCTCAGTTACACCTTATATTAGACAGTCAAGCTCAGTGCTCACTTTTAAGAAGCATCTAAAAACATATCTCTAACTCAGTGCTTCATTAAAACTCTATGTCTCGTGGTTTTTATCTTTTAATCTGATCTGTCTTCTTCTTATATGTTTCTAAATTAATCCTTATAATTTCTTGTATTACTGGTAAGCTTTATCACCTGTCTGTAAAGCACTTTGAGCTGCCCATGGCATGAAAAGTGCAAAATAAATAAAGATTATTATTATTATTATATTTTTATTATAAATATCTTGACATGTTTTTCTCCAGCTCACCCTCCTGAGTTCTACGATGGCGTGGCTCACACTTTGGACCGTATTGCTCAGCACAGTGTTAAGAGGAAATCCCCTGTTAAACCTGAACGCATCCAGCCTAAAGGTGATTCTGCACGTGATCTACCCCAACAAGAATCCTGTCCATCACCGCTTTGATTTTGTTTTTGTTTTTGCTGGTCTCCACTGATCCGGTCAAACGAGTAATGTTACTTGAACAATGTGCTGACTCATACTGAGTGTTTTCCCTCTTCTGTTTTTCTCCTCTCTTGACTCTACCTCCTCACAGAACATGACAAAGAGGCTATAGTCCAGGCGCTTGTTCAGGTGCTGACCACAGAGGGGGACGTGATCAATGAGAAGGTGACCACCATCCGCTTGTCTGATTGTTTACTCCACTCTAAAGCCCTCCAACTGCTGCAGAAAGGCCAAAATGGGCTTAGTGGGATAGGGAAATTACTTGAGCAGTCAGTTTTGTGCCTTGTAATCTCTTTGGTATCACAGTCAGAGGTGTGAATCATTGAGCTAACAGCTATTTGATTCAGCTGTGATTCATAGGAATTCACTGAATACACAAATTTGACTGGAGGTATTTACATAGTAGCGGAATATAGACAATGACTTATTGTCTAAGCCGCTTATCCTCCTGGGCCCTGGAGCCTATCCCAGCACTCAATGGTCCATCACAGGGCAGACACAGACATACACTATACAATAAAAACAATTTTCTGGATTTTTAGGTTTAAAATTTGAATTTTATTTTGGCCGAAAAGTGAACAAATACTTTGAGTGGATTTACTACATCCCTAATCAAATATAATGAATTCTAACATTTTAAGTGATGAAACATTACACTGATATAACCATGCCATAAACATGTCATGACGCATGACATATGCAAAAGTTTAACCCCCCCCCCGCAATCAAAATAAGATAACACATCCTGTTAATATTATGGGAAACAAATAAAACATTGATTTGGCCTGCGTAAAAATTATGGCACATTTTATTTTTTATGTTTTGTCAAATTCGTTAAATTCAGTAAATAATTAGAAACTGTGCACTAAAATGTGCCGAAAAATGTCCTAATTATGTCATATTTAAGTGTTTCCTGTAAAGGACCAGGGGTGTTAAAACTTTTGCATACGACTGCACCATTCTCAGTAATTCTCAAGACTGCTGCTGTAATGTTTGATCTCATGTCATAGTTTTTGCTGTATACCATAGTTAGCAGTCATGACATGAAACATTCTGATGTCTGTCATGACCATCAGTGCGTTTGTACCACCTTAAATCACAGTCATGGAGAAATGCCTCCCACCACAGACAGCAGCAGGAATGATGTCTCATTAATGGCTCCTGTGTGTCTTGCAGATTAACGCTAACCCGCTGCTGCGCTCCTCCCTCAACCGTCTGTCCTACGCATCCTTTGCAAAGCTGCTGGACACGTGTGCCAGTGAAACCGTGGACCCGCCCCTACCTGCTCCGGTAAGCCCCACCCTCCAGCGCGTCGCCATCACCATGGAGGTGACCCGGCGCGTCGTCACGGCGACCGGAGTTCCGCAGCGTGTGGAGGGTTTCGCTGAACGCTACATGGAGAACTTCGCCCCGTGGGTGAAGAGCCACGGAGGATGGGTGAGCAGCACACTCGTTCATCTCGTTCTCTCTCCAACATTCTTCACATACCTGGGTTTTTTCATCGTTTCTCTCTCTCTTAATTTCTCTTTCTTTCTCTCTCTTTTTCAATCTCTCTCTCTCTCTCTGTTTCTCTCTCAATTACTCTTTGTCTCCCTCTCTCTCTCTTTCTGTCTCTCTCTCTCTCTGTCATTTCCCACTTCTGCCTCTTTCTCTCATTTCTCTCTGTCATTTTCTCTGTTTCTTCCCTTTCTCTCTCTTCTCACTTCTCTCACCCTTCTCTCTCTCATATTTATCTAATTTCTCTCTTTTTCCCTTACGCTTTCTCAGATTGTTCCCTCTCTGTGTCTTTCTCTGCCTCCAATTTTCTCCTTTTTAAATTTTTTCCGGGTTGTTTTTTTTTTTTGTCTCTCTCTTTTTTGCTCTCATTTTCTGTCTGTATTTGTTTGTCCACACAAATCAGCCAGAATCAACCAGCAGCCTATTTTCCTATAAAGAAATCAGAATCGGCCTTAAAAAGTAATGATTATGTATTTAGGGCTTAAGGAGGAACTAAACAATGTTAGCTTCACTCAGTAATGATCGTTGATTTGTCTATATATGTTACTGTTTACTGTGTACATCACACTACAACTACTGACAGCATACCATCAATCATTCTCTCTCTGTTTCTTTCTTTCACTGGTCTCTCTCCCTCACCTTTTTCTCTTTCTATATCTCTTTTTTTTGTCTGTGCTTTACATGCAGTTTGTCAGCTGTAGCTTTACACATGACCAGAGGGTGGCAGCATTGAATTAGTTAAGTGGCTGCTGCTACATTTTGTGTCTGTATTAACCTTTTCTCAATATTTGCAGGAGAGTATCGTCCAGTTGGAGGCTCAGGAGTATGACTGACCACTAAGCCATGCATGTGAAGAAGGAAGTACTCTACCTCATTATGATATGATCTTTACACTGTGACCTATGACCTGTGAGGTAGAGTGCACAACGACCAAGGCAGAGCCAGCAGAGACCCTGATGTTAGAGAATTACTGGAGCCAGTTTAAGGGAAGCCTGACCAAGAAGTGACAAAAAAATGCCAGAGGGCACAAATAAGCCAGTGAATGGGGGTGAATGGAGCTAAATGGCTAAAAAAAAAACAAAAATGAAACACGTTTCTAGACATTTACATGGAAACTTTCTTTAATTTTGGAATATAGAAGGATGTATTCCATTAAAAAATCAAAGACAACTTAAAAGTATATTTCCGTTTTTCTACAGCAGGAGGTTTTGGGTATTAGGATGATAGCATTACTGCTACTGAGTGCTGATTGGTTGGCCAGCTGATTAAAGCAGTTCCCACTCACTGACATCAATCGCTGTTAGAAAGTTCTATAACTGGAGCTTAAAAACACTCAAAATATGCCAACGGTGTTGAAATGTTTGATGCTATCATGATGCTATTAAAGAAAGAGGCATTTTTCTGTATAAAAGTAATTAAACATGTATAAAACATTTAGTTTTACACAAAAAGCTCCATGTGAACCCATTCAATTTGGACTCCTCACTAGAAATTCTCTGACCAGGGCATAACACTACCAGTAGTGACTGTCTGTTTTTTATTGATGTATTTATGTTTTTTAAAATGCTGGAACAGTTTTTAATGTACATTTTTATACCAAAATATAACTTATATCAAAGAAATGTTGTTGACTTTTTCTTTTTTTGTCTTGTACTGCAGTAACCAAAACACACAGAGGACAGAGTGAAGAATTAAACCATAGTTTACTAGTTTAATAGACTAACTGACATAACAAATATCAAATCAACAGAAAACTCTTCATAAGTCTTATGTAAATCATATGGCTGACTGTGTTTTGTGCAGTGGCCATCTAATCTGTTACGATTATTAGTTTTTATCCACCTTAAGAGAAGCAAACAGCACATTATATAGACTGATGGAATAATAGAAATGCCCCAAAATAATTTGGAACAAATTCTTTTTACATTAACTTCCATTAAAAGCTGAATGTTTTTGCCCTCTCCTGAAAAGTTACACATATTTTGGAGGTTTTGTTCTAACAGCAAGGATGTATATGTATACAGACAGGTGACAAATTAAAGGAAAAACCAACGTAAAGTGTCTCTGTAAGGTGTTGGGCCACCATGAGCCACCAGGACATCTTAAGTGTTCCCTGGCGTAGATTCTACAAGTCTAGAACTGTACTGAGGGGATGGAACACCTTCCGAAAGAGATTCCCGTCAGTTTGTCAGTTGGTGTTTTGATTTACATAATTGTCATACCCATCAAACCATTCAGAGACCCCTCATGTCCTGTCAGTGGGGGCATGGTCATCCTGGACGAGGCTAACGGATAAAGATGATCAGTCAGAATAACTTCTGATACTGATTTGTAGTGACCTTTCCCTTTAGACAGACAAAGGCCCCAAACCTTGCCAACAAATTCCCTCGCAGCATAACAGAGCTACCGTACCCCCTCACTATAGCGGTCAAGCTTTCAGGCCTGTACTTTTCTCTTGGTGTACGCTGCACATGCACTCGCTCACTTGTGAAGAATATAGAGGGGAAAGACTCGTCCACATTTCTGTAGACCAGCCTATGCACCATTGACCTCTCAGATGGTCATTAGCCTTTGTAATGAGGGGTTTATGCACTGCAGCCTAACTATAATATCCCTCTTTATGTAGTAGTAGACTGTTCAGGCAGTCTCATCTCTTCCTTCCTGTGTTGACAGTCTCAGTCACCTGAGGAACAGTCGCTGCATCGCTCTAACACTCATTGAATACATGATGGTGACCAGCACTGTTTGCTGAAGTCTTTCCCACAGATCTAAATGCAGAGGACACTTTAGTGACTAGCCACGTTTACATGCAACCTAATAATCCATTAATAATCCGACTAATAGTTCAATCGGAATAGAATACGTCCATGTAAACACCTCAATCGGAATAGTCTAGTCTGATTGAGGCTTTCCGTAATACAGTTTCTATCCGGTTGAAAGAGGTGGGTAATCCTGTAAATAATCTGTTAAATAGAAGAATAATAGCCGTGTAAACGTCTGTATCTGATTACATTCCCTATCGGAAAGTTTAGGTACGTTCTGATCATGTGCGTCACGTCATAGTGACAGTTTATAACGTTCAACATGGCGGAGCAGAAACTGGTCGGCAGAAAAGACGAAGTTTATGTTCTGATCTTTAAAAGACGGCGGTGGGACGGACGTCCAGCTTATGTGTCTCAGAACACGACGTCTTCCTCTCGGCCTTCTTTAATAAGGAAATGTGAAGGACGTTTTTCTGAGTCTGACATCATTTTAAAGTAATTACAAACACAAGCACTGCTCACTGCTGCTCGTCTCACTCTGACTGGACTCACGTGATGCTGGCTGTCATGGTAACAGCTACAGTACTCTACACACGCGCGTAATTTGGGGTTGGATTACTTGTAGTGTGATGTAAACGGAGATTTTCCATCAGACTGTTGAGTAGAGTGAGCATAAAAACCCCTCAGTCTTAATCTATAATTGGAATGTATTCAATCGGATTGGCAAAAATCTTTGCATGTAAACACAGCCAGTATTCCTGTTAAAACAGTGGTGCAGTCTTTGAGACTGAAGCATCCTGCCTAATAATGAGCCCTTTTTTCAAAGTCACTGAGATCCTTTCCTCTGCAAACAATTTTGAGGCCTGCTCAGCATTTGTATACATACCACAGAGCATGATGGGATGTCAATAGCTTAAGGTTTTTCCTTTAATTTGTCACCCGTCTGTATCTCACTGTTTCTCAACCAACATGGAATCCAATTTTAAGAGTCAAAGTTTCCTGCAGGTAAGAATATCCAGCTGGGACAGTGTGTCTTTACTGATGCAAAGCACTGTATCCGTTCTGAGTTATGAAGCTGAAGTCCAGTAAAGTCCTAAAAGAGTAAAATTCACTCCTAATTGTTATGCATTCTCTCGGCTATACACCAGATCCCAGACAGCGCTGGGCCACGCGCCAGGTCAGTCCATGTATTTTTCCGCACGCAGGATTTGGCAGTACATCAGCATGGAGAAAGCCAGGGCCAGGATCTGGAGAAAGAAAGAGGGAAAAATGCAGCGTGTGCAGTTTTAACTGCATAAGTGTGTGCGTGTGTATATTTGCGCATGTCTTCAAATTACAGAAGTGCTCAGAGACTGGGACTGCATTGTGAGTGAGCAGGCCTTCCTATTAAGGCAGAAAATATGCATAATACAATCTGTGAGATATAAACAGAGTCATTCTGAGTGGTTTGTGTGAAATGGTGCATTGTAGAGACTCATTTACTTCACAGTGGTGGTGTTAGGAAGCAATGTCTACAACACAAATACAGCCGGACAACGTGTCTTTAACCATTTCATGTAATAACTTTCTGTGGGAGCTTTTAGAGGCATCTAAACACATTGGATGTCTGGTTCCCATCACCAGTAACTACTTAGTAAGTGACAATTCTGACTCGATCAGTTTCTCTAGAGCGGCACATTTCAGTTTAAAGCACTCTGAATGACTTTGTTTTTAATCTGAGCTTAAATCACCTCACACATTTTTTTTTTAAATCTTGTGGTATTTAGCTTGTGGCTTCCTGTAAGACTGCTGGGTGTCAATGCACAGTTTGCACACCATGTTCAAAAGTTTTTAGACACCTGCTCATCCAGTGTTTCTGAAATGAGGGATGTTAATAAGGTGCCCTAACAGCCTCTACTCTTTTGAAAAGAGCATTGGTGAAGTCAGGTACTGATGTTGTATGATCAGTTCTAGATCACTCCAACTCATCCCAAAGGTATTGGATGGAGCTCCATCACTCCAGAGAATGCAGTTTCAATGGTGACTTCAGGCCCATGTGTGGCTGCTATATTCCATTGGTCAATGCTTTTCTATGGAGATTATACAAGCTGTGTGTGTGCGCAGTTGAACACCTGTGTCAGCTGAATTCACTAATTAGATGGCCTGTCTGAATACTTTCGAACTAACGGCGTTAGTCACTCTGTATACTCGTGTTCACAAGTTTACATTAAGAGGGTAAACATATGTGCTGTTATCTATAAAAAGATTCTAGTTTCGAGAAGGCTGCTGCTACTGTGTTTAGCTACGTGACGGCCTTTAGTCCGTGTTTATAGATGACAGTGTCATACAGTGTCAGAAACCACATAATCAGGTCTATTACTTACAGGGCCCATATCCTTCAATTTTATCACATTGTATTATATTGCATAAGCTCCCCCATTACATGTACCAAAAATGGTCATAATTCATTTCTATGTGGCCATTTTCCAGCCTCTATTCATCCTTAGGCTGTTTTTGTTACTGTGCTTTTATGACTGATAAATGTAAACAACCTCTCTTCTGATTGCTTTGTAATGTGTTGTATTGAAAAAGCAGTCTAGGCTGCACCACCTCTTATGTCTGCAGTATAACTGCAGGAGGCTGAATGGGGCAGATATATAAATGATTCCAGAAACAATGAATTCAAAATGGGCAATGTTTGCAATGTTTACATACAGTTCCAGACCCATCTACTCCAAAAAAGCAAGGAAAATCCGTTTGTCCGTGATTGGGCCCTTTAACAACTCACTGCTAATTGGTGTGAGGTGGGAGGGTGAAAAATTAGATTTCTCGCTGAACGTTTGCTTTAAAATTACCTGGACAATGCCGAGGCAGACCCCAAACACCAGCACTGATGTAATGTTGCTGAGGAGGAAGTTCTTGGCCTTCTCGTAGCACGGCTGAGTCAAAGAGAGAGCAAAAGAGCAAAGTGACCTCACACAGGAGACGATGAGAATGTCACACCATGAACAACACTGCATAAATGGCTTAGGCCAGCCAAGGACAGTAAGTGTGCGTTTGCTTGTAAAAACACAGCTTGTAGGGAGAATAACTCCACATGACATTTACAGTTTCAACCATGTTTATGCTTGTGTACAGTACTGTTTTAGAGTCTTAGACCAGCTGAAGAAATTACACCTATTTTTGGATGCAGTAAGTGAGTTTGGATTAAACCAGGGGTGCAAGACTGTGGTCCTGGAGGGCCGGTTTTCAGGACAGTTTGGTTGTGTCTCTACTCAAACACACCCACTAAACCTGGGGATCAACAGATAAGTTGCATCAAGTGTGTTTGAGTAGGTAAATCACCAAACTGTGCTGGACACTGGTCCTCCTGGACTGGACTTGTGCACCCCTTGGTGGGGATGGAGGGAAGGGCAGGTGAAGTATGGTATTATTGGTTTATATTACTTTCCCCCACTCGTTGGTGCACGTTGACATAAAGAAACAGGATTTAGACATTTTAGAGGTGACAAAAATGATCGCATTTTGATTAAAGCTAACAAGAAAACAAGGTTAAAAAAGGTCTGTTTTGACCACAGGTTGACTTTAAGTGATTAGCCAAACAAGGTTCAGTTCTTCAAGGAGAAAAGGTTAAGTTTACAAACTGACAGACATCAGATAACTATTATTAATTATATTAATATTATTATTATATTAATATTCTCCAACCAGCCACTCCGTTAAGTACACCTCCTTGTATCTACACCATTTTATCAGCTCCACTTACTTTATAGGTGCACTTTGTAGTTCTACAGTTACAGACTGTAGTCCATCTGTTTCTCTGCATACTTTGTTAGCCCCCTTTTACCCTGTTCTTCAGTGGTCAGGACCCCCATGGACCCTCAGAGAGCAGATACTATTTGGGTGGTGGATCATTCTCAGCACTGCAGTAACACTGACTGCTGGAGTTTTTACACACTGTGTCCACTCACTGTCCACTCTGTTGGACACCTCCTACTTTGTTGATCCACCAAAGACAGTAGCTCATCTTTTGCTGCACCATTTGTGTTGGTCATCCTCTAGTCCTTCATCAGTGGTCACAGAATGCGGTTGACTGGATGTTTGTGGTTGGTGGACTATTCTCAGTCCAGCAGTGACACTGAGGTGTTTAAAACTCCAGCAGTACTGCTGTGTCTAATCCACTTGTACCAGCGCAACACACATTAACCCAAACAGATGGACTACAGTCTGCAATCGCAGAACTACAAAGTGCTCTAATTTGGTCAGTGGAGCTGATAAAATGGACAAAGTGTGTAGATACAAGTAGGTGAACTTCTAGCTGGTGGTTTTTAGTAGTTTATAGCTGTTATTTTTACAATAGTAAATGCTTAATGCTCTGAAAATAGGTAAAATCTTGTTCTTTATTAATAATTTTACTGGTGGACTTCTGCATAATCATGTATCTAAGCAGCAATTCACTGCGTATGGTTCACATTATGTATGGAGTTTTGGCATGTGTGGTACAAAGTTGACCCCTAACCCCTCAATTTTAAAAGTGGACTGACCTCTTCCCATCTGTGGCAGGGGTCAGTGCCGGGTCTGCAGCAGGATGTAGGGAGCTGACCTGTTCCAGTGCTGTTGTGCCAGTCAGTGTGGTTACTAACACCACAGCACTTAAACTGAAGAAGACAAGAAATTGTTATATTTTGACAGTAAACACAAGTCACCTTACAAGTCTAAGTAACAGTGATGTGATTGTGTGTGTGTGTGTGTATATATATATATATATATATATATATATATATATATATATATATATATATGTATATATGTGTGTGTGTGTGTGTGTATAAAATTAGCATTAATATTGTGGTTTTGCTATACATTCAATTCACATTACAATTACATGTGTAATGTTAACTGTGCAATTAATTACATAGTCACATAATGTCAAACGTTCATGTTTTTGTTTGTTTGTTTGTTTTTTTGTATGTTTATTTCGAGGGACCTTGGATTAAAAACTCTTCTTACAATTCTCTGCATGTTGTCCCAGGAGTTCTTCAGGTCAGTGTTTTTGTTATAGTCCTTCATCCCCTTTATCAAATCATCCTTAGCTTTCTCGTCCAGCTAGACAAGAGAAAAAACAGACACCTGGAGTTTTTATGAATTTAAAAAGCAGTTTCTTAAAATGAAAATTGTAGCTATCCATATTACATCCACAGCTGATGAAACCTTGTTCATAGTTATTTTTAATATTCTTAAGTAATTGCAAGAAACCACTGAAGATTAGGTCTCTCTTTAACCTTAAACAAGTCGATTTAGAGCAAGAGCTAAGATTTAAAATCAAATCAACTCTCTTACCTGAAATGTAGTCAATCAGCCAAGACATGTTTGGTGTCTGAAATGTGCTTCTTTAGTTCTGCAACAGGGCTACAGCGCTAATGTAGCTAACAAGTAAAGCTTATAGCCATCAATTAGCGCGGTGCAAACTGCACTGAGATCATCACACACTCGCCTCAGACCATGCGGAGTTGTTAATTAATCTCTAATAGACTTGATTATGTGGTTTCTGATGCTGTACGATACACTGTTATCTATAAACACTGACGAAAGTCAGTCACATGGCTAAATCAGTACAGAGCCCTTCAGAATCGTGCCTATATTTTCGTCCAGTTTTATAGATACACCAAACATTTCTTGGCATTTCATGGCTACATTTGAGTTACAGTGCAAACTGTCAATGTGCATTATCACTTTAAAAAGTAGGGGGTAGGATTAAAACCAAATGGTATTGCCTTCTAATGGGGAACTGGCTTAATGGTTTACAACAGAGACCACTAGTTTCCTGTAGAACACCTTTAGATTGCTTTAGGAAATCATTAAATGCAATTAGAATTAGCCACTGGTCACCTGTTAAACCATTAGGATCCCTTACACTATGATATTAATCAATTAAAAGAAGACAAAACACATTACAAAATCAGGAGCCAGCAGAAACACTTAGTGACTTCTATGTTTTTTCCAGCAGGGTTGCAGGATCTCACCTCTTTGTGGTAGATGCTCAGAATCAGAATCAGAGTCACTTCAGTGAGGAACAGGAGCAGGAGGATCACGAAAAACTGGGAAAGGAAGAAGCAGCGCTGTCAGGAGGGCAGTCTGGGCTAGTGGATGTACATGAGTATTCTGGTGCATGGCTGGACCAGACTGAGCGTACTGGGCCTCATGGAGGGAGCACTGCATAAACAGATCCTTTCTTGCGTTCTTCCTCCTCACTGCATTCACAATTGTCTCGTAATCAGAGTTTTCTTCTGGAAGACTATTTCTATATAAGTCTATTTTTATTTGACTCAGAGGAAGCCATGGTTAGTGTAGGCCACTTAAGCTGGTTACAGAGGTCAATTAGGACAATTTCTGACGTGACGACAAGCTTTTGTTGAATCTTGCACATCTCACTTGTACGTCCCCACAAGTGCAAGGAAAGATAGTGGCCTGTTTTCTTTAGAAATGTTGTTAAGATCATATTTGTTCATTTTCAGACAGATTTGCCTTTGCCTTTTTTTGTAGTTGTACTTTCATTTGGATCTATTCTATGTTTACACTTTTTATGAAGACTGCTGAGCTGAATTTGTAGTCTGAAACGTGCTCTACAAGCAAATACAATGTTTTAGCATGAGGCCTCGTATAAGTGCTGTGCGGAAGCATAACAATGCACATATCTTTGCTGTCCAAAGATAAATAAGTATTTCCAAAATTTACAGGTGAGAGCAAAAACCTTCTTTACTTACTTTTACAAAGTAAGCCAATCTAAAGGGATTTTATTCAAACCAATTTTGCATTGTTGGTCCAGTCATCATGAAATTTTCACACAATGTAAAGGGCAGTAGCTCCGCTTAAATTATGCAGAAAAAAAAGTTTTATCTTGAGTAAACGTAGCTTTAAAAAGTTTTTTTACATGACCCTCTAAAAAAATAACAACAAAACAAAACAACAAAACCCCGTAGAATTTAAAAGCTCCTCAGAAAAGAGTATCGTTTGAGCATAGATGCATGCATAGCATAAGCCTGAATCAGTACACCCTTAATGGTTTGTAGCATCTCACCGTCATCAGCAGACAGCGCTGCTCCTTCAGGGCCCCTAGGCACCCCAGAAACCCCGTCACCATGGTAACGCCGCCAGCCACCAGCAGCAGGTTGGCAGCCGAAAGTGAAGGAAAGGACAGCGGGAGGGAGGAGAACTGTGACTGGGTGAAGGAAAGCCACACCCCAACACCGAACAGGCCACACCCACCCAGCTGTTGATGAGACAGATAAGCAGAGGTAAATGCTAAGAACGTACTACTATGTGTGAATGGATGAAGGGCTTATGCTTCTTCTTCTTTTACTTCTCCAAATAAAATAAATATTTTATTAGGCAGTAAAATCAGTGTTTTATGATGGGCTCCAAAGTGACAGAGACGAAACAGGACCTTTCAAAAAAATGTATAGTTGACTGCAAATGTTTTGGAAAGAAGCAGAGACTGTATGAAGTGGCATTAGGACAACCTGTGACACGTCCTCTAGTCATTCATCACCACTAAACTGAAGATAATGGCCATATAGGAGGTTCGTCCATGCCTGTGACTGCATGAATGCATCTTCACAGTAGACACTGTAGGGCTTGGTACAGTGAATTCACATGTTTGAACCTTCTAAACTAATTTTAGTGTGGATAGATTGCACTTTAGTTCAATTCGTATCCAATTACCCTTATGAAAGCAATAAAGCAACTGTTGTTTTTTTATTTCTTTGAAAAGTGAGGAGATCTGTACTTTAACTTGAAATAAAATGATTAAAACGAGCATTTAGTAATCACAAAAACACACAAAATGTGTGTATCCACCGTTAATATGGTGATTATGGGCCGTCCCACCTCACTGACATTGAACTTCCCAATGAAATAAATCTTAACACCATAACACAGTGTTACAGTGTTTTTTTGTTCATTTCCAAGAAATTTAATGTCAATGGAATTATTTTCCCCTATTCATTTATTTATTTATACTTTACCTTGTGTCCCACCAGCTTTGATTAATACTTTGGCAAAAATCACTGAAAAAAAAGGCCTAAAATGAACTCATGGGAAGTGCCAGATATAAAAACGCCACAGAAATGGTTCTGGTTGGTTTAAAAGTGATGCTGAACTTAAATGAACATCTAACCATACCCAATTTTAATTTTTGTTTAATTATATGTGGTTTTTTTTTTTTTATTTTATTTTATTCACAATCAAATTTGGAATGTATTTTTTTTTGTTAAAAATCAGTAGCCCCACAAGACGTGACAAAAAAAATGGTTTGGTATATTTCTTCAGTATTGTGCTCATAAGCTCAGAGAGTTTATGGACCAAAGGAAATTGTACAATTTTAGCTAGATATGGATATTAATAAGTTAATCAATGCATTAGTAGCTAATGTGCTCCACTCTCCCGCGCAAAACTGCACTCAAATTCAAATTATAACGGAAAATTAACGGACATTTGAAGCGCGACTGGTAAGGAATATGAATTTAGCTCTTTATTATTCTCAGAAGTAGTTAATATCCTGAGACACACTTTTAACAGACTTAAAATTAATTCATTTTGATAATTAACCTCAGTTACTGTTCATTTCTTGTGGCGTAGTAACGTTAACCGTTTAACTCCTGGTCTGTTCCGTCAGTGAGGATAGCTAACCAGCTAACCCGCTAACTGTCATTCCACAACGAGGCGGAGTAACATTGACGGTAATAGCTGTTATTTTCACTGTGTGTTTGAGACACGGTGGACTGAGAACATCTCAAATAATTGATGGTAAATTAGCTGATAAATCTGCATTTGCTTGGCAACAGATTATTAACTTTACCTAACTAGCGCTATAATGTTAGCTTTAGCGTTAGCTCGTTTCTAGTATCGTAATTAAACTACAGAGGGAGCGTGTTATCGCGAAATAACATCACGACTGTGATTTGGTCGATAGATTTTGATCACAGATCAGCTACACTGGGATTTCTAGCTTGTACTGTTTTATTATGTGACTTGTAATACATTTATGAAACCACATTTCAAACAATATGCAGAATGATGTGAAGTAATCTGCTTTAATTTAGCATGTTAACAGATTAGTGACCCACAGGACATTAATTATCTGGCAAAAAGATATATGGACAGTGTGTTAAATTGAGCCTATATTGAAGTGTCTTGTAGTGAATGTTTTGCAAGGAAACCACTTTAGGCTGAGGTTGAGCAAAACATATTTAATGTGAGATGTAATCATCTCAGCAAGTAAGGAGTGTAGATCACATGCTGAAAGCTGTAAAAGCTGGAAGCTGCTTCTTTTAGTTGGTCAGTTCATCATTGTAGCCATATTTAATAAGCATGATCCGTAATGAAGGACAGAATCTGCATCTTCTTAAATCATATGCAAGAAACACTAAGTGGTTTTGTGCACTATAGCTCACTCATTACTGAAATAGTGCTCTGGGAATTGAATGTGGAGCCTCTTGAGAATGGGGTCAGCGCAGCCCCTTGCTTATTGTACGTTCAGCTAAATATCTATCAAATTAAGCTTAACTTTTCCCTCATCCCTAAACCTAACACTCTCTCAGACACTAATCCAAGATGTAAGCCTAACACTGTTAATATTCAACAGCAGATAGTTTGTTGATAAAATGAGCATTTCTATATAATCTATATGGAAACATCAAAATATAGTGTGACCTAAAATGTTATCTGTATTTTGTTTGTTGTGCCCAAAATCTCACAGGTTCCCAGGAAAAGGAGCCCCACAGTAGTGTGAACCACTGACCAGTGAACGCGGCTTTTTGGGACTCACCCAGAAGATGAGGTTGAAGACGAACATGAGGTACTTCACACAACACAGGCAACCCCGTGACACGGCCATCCTGAGAGAAACAGGAAAGAAACAGGAAAATAGCACAGCAGCTGCTGAAAGGCCACTAGAAATGTCACTGTATGTCTGGAAACTGACCTCAGTCATATGACTGTCAGTTCGTTAGTCTTTGTTGCAGTACTGGCTTTTGAAATACTGAAACTGCTGTAAGCTGTAACATGCAAACAAGCCCTGTAATCAATCACAAAACTGTTTATTGTTTGCTGTAAACGTCCTGACCGAACACAGATGTTCTGAAAATGTTTTTACAAATGAAAGCATTCAACAAATGTTAATAATATTTTTGGTCAAATTAATGCAGGCCAGGATGGGTGGGCGATATGGCAAGAGTGTAACCTTCAGTACGTTTTCACAATGCATGATAAGTATCGCAATATTTAGTTTTTCTCAGACTTAATCAATTGAAACAGACAAAAAAAACCAGTAGTGCCACTGTGAAAATCTGTGAGTGCACACACTACACTGCACTAAATCCAGTTAAACAGGACTATTTGTTATAGATGATATCAAAGTTATATCTGCAGATATTTACCTACAAAAAAAATCACCATCAGACAGATGTTTGGATTTAGCCCATATTACAAACTGGTATTTGATGATATATTTACTGTATTCTGGAGGAGCACAACCTTTAGACATTGCTGGGCTGCTGTGCCAAAATATCTGCATTTATTTGATTTTACTGCATTTCGCTGCTGTTGGAAGAAAACCTCATATCTCCATTTTTGTTGTTTTTCAGTTTTTGACATATTTTGAAAATTCCTGTTGCCTTTTACATTGTGTATAAATTGGACCAAAAGAAACCCCAAATTGAAGCCCAAATTGACTTGGAGAAAAGTCTGGTTCCATTTACCTACATGAAAAGTAAAGTAGGTTTTGTTCCTTTTCCTGTAAAGTTATCATTTTGGAGATATGAGGTAATCTTCCAACAACAGCATCTTGTAACCCTCTGCAAATAAATATTACATTTCTCTGTGATACTAATCAAGGTGAATCTAGTCTTAATACCTACATTTTATGAGTGTTTATGTATCAGCATTGATATCAGCATCAGCAGACATGCACATATCAAAACATCAGGTATTGGCATTGGCCCACAATTCGGTGCGTCTCCACTGTTTACGTCTCTTAGTAATAAAGCATGCAGTTGGTGAGTGTTCTTTAAGTACTGACAATATCTATGAGATGCTCAGAAAAGCATATAGTGATGTGATGTGATGTAATTCTTTACGGTGAGATCATGATATTGGAGGAGGAGGATGGGTTCCCCTTTTGAGTCTTGGTTCCTCTCAAGGTTTCTACCTCTTGCTCTTAGGGTGTCACCACTGGCTTAGTCATGGGAGCTTGGACCTTTTTTTTTTTGTAAAGCTGCTTTGTGACAATGGCTCTTTTAAAAAGCGCTATACACATAAACTTTAACTTGACTTGGTATTGCCAATCCCTACAGGCCTTTCACTTTCAGAAACAGAATCGTGATATTATATTTTTCAGTGTATTTCAGCCCTTTGATACATGTATGGGTGCCTTCCTTGTATTTTTCATATCCCCTGCGTGGTCAGCTGTGTCTGTTCTGAGCATGTTTGTTAGCTTTCACACTCACTCCAGTGGAATTCAGTGAGCCACTCTTTGGAGGGAAGTGTTCTTTCCTGGCAGGAAGGAACCACCCTGGCCTGCACTGCTGATAGCACTTAGCTCACAAACACTCTTCTACACTGCCCAGGAACAAAACCTGAGCCTCTCCTAAAGACTAAACACACACACAAATGCACAACCAAACCAAGCTGAACGCCGAGACAAGTATAAATATCCGTCCTTTTATGCAGATTTCCCAAACGTCATAGTACTGACCTTAGTCAGACATCTAATATTCATTGTCCCCAATGGCTGGGGTGGACAGTACTGTAGCAGTCTAAATAGAGCTTCCCTAATAGAACAGAAATTAAAAAAGCTCTACAGCACTTACTTTTCTCATGGTATGAGAAAAAAAATGTTTTAAAGTGGAACCACATGGCTGTATGAAAATGCATCCTTCAGGTATGAGATCATATGCAGAAACCTTATCCTGTTGGCCCTCATTAGAGGATCCTTCCATTTTCCTCTTAAAATGTGAAACAAAAAGCAAAACCAGTGTAATTCACCTTGAAAATTATGCTGTTATATGTCAGAAATGAAATTATTATCCAAGGGCAAATCTCGCCCCTGGATTTTTAACTTTATGAAGGTATTTTCTCTAAAAATACTTAAAAGACATTTACTTAACTCTGCATAATCATTGCTATTGTTTATAATTATTTAACGATTAAATATAAGGAAATAAAAGTAAGTAATCAAAATTTAACATACCTCCACACAATAACAGCTGACTGCTTTGCTGTAATATATTTTATATAGATCCCCACTAATAAATGAAAAAACACTGTAGTGGCCATAGAAGCTCTAAAATTGCATTTTCCATGCCATTCACAAAACTAAAATATGAGATGTATCAAATGTTACAAATACAAAAAAATCTCTAGGATTCATTATGGGGTGTTTTTGTCTTTTAAAATTTTGCTTTTTAAATTTTAGCAGTGTTTTATAACATTTGTGAGCTTTGTTTGCCCTGAGCTCTAATGAAATTCTGATGTCCATAATGAACAAATAACAGATTTCATTCCTCTGTTCCTCAATACAACACAAAAGAATGTCAATCGAGGCAGACGTTTCACATAAGTGGAGTAATTCTGATTGTAACTGCAGTGAATTTCTCATCTTCACATTGGCCTAAAGTCAGTAGTATGTGTAATTACAAAAGGATGCAGGATGTGTGTTATAATCCATAATCCAACTTTATACACAAATTAAAGACCTGTCTTCTTACATCTGTGAGGTAACACAGCGCTGATTGTAATAACAGCGAATTTCAATCTGAATTCGACTCTCTGGTGTGGCCTCCATGCAGGCCTAATGTTAGTTATATGGGTAATTACAAGAAGGACTTATAATTCATCATCCATCAGCATCTGGAAACTATCCTCCACAGGTCTGTAATGACCATCACCGAGTATGAAGCACAGACATGTTTCATTTACCTGCTGGTGGGTGGAGTGCAGGACAAGTCTGAAACTTTTCAGGAATTTTGTTCTCCTGTGGTTCAAAGTGATGGCAGCAAGTTTGTGCCAAACTCACGATTCCTCCACGTTTTGTTGTTGTTTTCTTTTTTAAGTTTTGTTTTTCTCTGATTGCCCTGACTTCTCTGGATTCCTTTTGTTGCTGCTCCCTTTTCAGCCCACAGGAGAGGAGATGAGTTCTGTTTTGTAGAATTGCTGCTTCTTGCTGAGGGATGCCAAACTCCTCACTGGCTGGATTTTGCTTGATTAGTTGATTCTTCTCTCAGGTTCCTTCTATTCGTCTTCAAAAAGTCCTCCTTGCTTCAGAAGTCTTTTCCTCGTAGTCTAAATCTGAGAACACTTTTTCCATGGCCGAAGGAACTGATCTTCTCTTTGTTACAGTCTCCTCATTTCCAGCTGTTGATATTTTATTCTTCTCTCAGTTGTTTCTCTTTCTCTCTCTGCCTTGTTCCCAATAAGTTCCAGATGTAGTTACCAGCCCTCCCCTCTCATTCCTTCTCTCTCTATCTCTCTCTCTTTCTTTCTCTCCTCCCCCTTTCCATTTGTCCCAAGAGAATCCATTCTTTTCCAAGACCCTCCTCCTCTTATTAAGTCTCTCTCTCTCTCTCTCTCTCTCTCTCTCTCTCTCTCTCTCTCTCTCAAACTCTTTCCCTTTTCCGTTGGTTATGTCTAAACAACCTTGATGGATTGTGTTTGTCCTCAGCAGAGGGGCCGTCATATATTTGAGCCCTTGCAGTTCCCGCTTCAGTTTAAGCCTTTGTAAGTTGTCCACATTGTCCACAGTGGTTCCCCAAATACATAGACACACCAGACGCTTCCACACAAAAACACTCACAACGTGTCTTACTTTGACCAAAGGCGGTAAAGTTGAAAGCCAGTCAGTGGTTGTAACTGGACCTTATTCTGACATGGATATACAAGTATACAGATTAATACAGTTCAACTTAAACAGAGGGACATAGCCTCCCATGCACCTCAACATTCCTGCCGTGATGATAGACAGTGTAGTCAATAGCTCCATCTAGTGGTGTTCAGTGGTCAGTGTACTACCTTTTTAAGCATTCTTTACTAAAGTTCACTAATGCATGTTATTCGACACCAACGTGGGTTAAACAATGTATGATTTTAAATAGGGATGCATAGATATTGGAACTGTGGGCTGATGTCAGCATCCAGTATTTTTCATGTATATATATCTACTGATAGTAATGCTAATATATAATCACTCATAAAATGTAGAAATTGAGACTAGATCCATCTGCATTAGCACTACAGAGAAATGTGTAATGTACATTATATAGGGCACAAATATAGTAGAATGAACGCAATACAGATAAGTTTGCACAGCAGTCCGGCCACACTCAGTTTTCAACTAATTAGATTCTGTTCTTCGAAGTGTCGCTGTCCAAAATAGTAACTTTACAGGAGGGGGCAAAAACGTTCTTTACTTTCAATATAAGTTAATGGAAAGAGATTTTATTCTAAGCGGTTTTGGAGCATTTCTGTTGGTCCAATCATTATGAAATCTTCACACAATGTAAAGGACAGCTGCTGAGCTCAAATGATGCAAAAAAATGGAGACATGTTTTTCATTGGACGGCGACGAAAGACAGCATATTATTGGCTTGTCTGTATTTGTGTGCAAAGTGAAGTTAAATAAAAATTGTGAATATAATAAACTTAAATAAAGCTACCTTAACTCAAAATATGCCAACGAAAATTACTTGATCTTACTCAAAATGAGTACGAGTTACTATCTCAACAATTCTTTTTTTAGGTAGTTTGAATTGAAGTTGTGTTAACTTAATTCTTTCATTAAGATGCGCAGTTAGATTTTGTGGTGGAGTATCATTTTGCACCCCTGGTTTTCATTATCATGCACTTTCAGGATGTGTGTAAGTTTTATTTGAGGAGCCTGCACATAGGAAAGGGTTTGCTTATTGATCTTGGTGCGTGTTGCCGCTCCTCAAGGTAGCAGTCTGCTAACCGCCGGCCTGCACTCTTACCCCAATAAAAAGCATTGTTTTGAGTCTATCTGCAGCTTCACCTTATTCACTACAGTTTCACTCTCACAGCTTTCTCTAGCAATGTGCTGTGATTCCCCCCCACCTACAGTTTTGGTGGGGAACCTGATTGAATGTCTATTTTCCATAATCTTAAAGACATTTTGATCCAAAGACTAAGGCTTAATTGTTAGATGTAATAAATTAGGTGGATGCTTGTGCATGCATTTATTAAAACAACAAATTTTAATAATAATAAACAAACAAAAAAAATATATATATATTTAAAAAATTCAACCCCAGGCATGTACTTTTTAGCAGTCAGTGTCCCAGGCAGCTCTTCATTAAGCTGCTTGTAAAAATGCTGAGAATGCTAAGAAAGCTTCATCAAAGCACAGGGGGCAGATTTAAAGAATTTAAAAAAGAGGATAGTTTTGATGTGGTGTGATATTTCATTCCTGTTCTAAAATGTGTGCTACTGTAGAAATAAGGAAAACTCCTCCATGAGCAGATGTGTCCAAACTTTTCACTATTACTGTATGTGTTTAGGTGAATCTTCAATTATGGCAACTTTTATTATTTGAAAGAAAATAAAAACAATTTTGACCACAATTATTTTAAATTTTAGAAAAAAAAAACAATTTTTGACTTGAGGTCCACCCAGACCTGTTTACTTGCTCTATAATAAGTGGATAAAAAGTGTTATAATCATTAAATGCCTGTTTTATGTGTTTGTAAACATATTTCAAATTCTTATGTTCTACATATGTGCAATTCTCATATTTTATAACAGAATTCTACTGTCCTCAATTCCACTGTGATTTCCAGAACACCAAAGATTTTGGAGAGCAGTACAAATCTTTCAAATAATTGTTACTGTGAAAATAAGACGTGAACGGGGAGCACATTTCTGGTTGCTATTCAGTTGGGTTAGCAAGTGTTTTCCTCCAAAAAGCAACAATCTTTATTACTGCGTCAGTACCATCACGCAGTTATTCTTGATGCTATGTATACATAGTGGCAATTATTATTTGATTCTTTGATAATATAATGGCACACTTAAATATCACTGTGATTTTTATTACATTTTGTCACTAAGAAACATGCCTGAACACTGCCTAAATAAAGTCAAATGTGCCCCTCGTTAAGGAATTACTCACACACGTATGTGCACATATATTTAACAACCCTTTGAATATAAAGTAGAGTTTATTTATGTCTTAGAAGTAGGAATTCATTATTTTAGAAATTCTTAAAAACATGTATCAAAGTGAAGAGCAGTAAAGACATTGCAACTCTGTCTACCCAGTATGAAACTGACTGGAAAATCAAAACAATACAGCCCTGCTATGTATCGAGGTGCAGTAGATGGCAGCAAACTACTGAAGGATTTGGACTATGGCATAAAAAGTCAACAGTCAAAGAATGAGAAAGTTCGTTTCGTACACCAGTTCATTTCACACAGCAGTGGTGAGACAAAACGCTTCACCTCCATTCACCTTGGGCTCCTCCATTTCTGTCTTTCCTTTGGTGTCTTCTTCCTCTTTTTGCCCCGCTTCCTTTTGTTTTTCCCTGCCCTCTCCCTTCGCTTCCTCGTCAATGTATAGCAGAGGTTCTTTCTCCTCCCATTTCTGAACCTCCATTGATCCAGGCCGTCCGATTCCACCATTTTCATCCACAGCCGCAAACGTACTAAGCACAGCGTCGGTCCCGTCTGGGTTTTTATCATCTCCTTGTCCCCCCTCTTCTGGACCCTCACACTGGCCCTTTTCCCCTCCCTCCAGATTCACAGGCCCTGCCCAAGCGTCATCCTCGCCTTTCTTTTTCTTGGACCTCTGGCTCCGCCCGTTCATGTACCCCTGGCCGAAATGCTGCGTGCCGCGTCTCTTTCTGCGTTTTACTAATATGATGACACAGAACGTGAATATTATCAAACAGGCAATGACCACCACAGCAATGATGATAAAGGTCAGCCGTTTGGAAACTGTTCCACCGGATACACTCTCATTTCCACTGATTTCATTTACAGCGACAGTCTCGTTGAAGCCCTCAGTGTTCGTTGTTGACAAATCAGCAAAGGGGTGTGTAGTATCTGGGATAGAGTCTTCTGCTTGATGCTGGGTGGTGAGGATGGTGTTGAGGTGTGTGGTCGCCATGGCGCTGGGTGTGGTTGCCATGGAGCTGGTTGTGGTTTCCATGGAGCTGACTGTGGTTTCCACAGCGCCGGGTGTGGTGTGCACAGGTGCCTCAGTAAGGGGTATTAGCTTAGAAGTGGCCTCTGATGCTTTCACGGTTGTCAGAGCAGATGTTGGTACAGCAGGTGTTGGAGTATGTGTTGTTGCTTCTGTCATAGTAGTGGTCACTTCGTTCATTACAGTGGTTTTATCAAACTCCACCAAACTTGTGAGCTCTGGGCCTGCAGGATCTGTGATCACTTGGGTCGTCGTGGTTGTATCATGGACTGTGGTGGTGGGAGCTTCTTGACTGGGCGTTGTCACAGGGTTGGTTTCTGGTAAAGGTGTTGTCACAACCTGCTGCGGTGCTACGGTGAAGGTGCCTGCTGACACAGGTTCTGTCACTGACAGAAGAGCCTCAGCAGCCAAGTTTCCCATGGTGGAGTTTGATCCATCTTCAGGCTTTGCTGAAGGGACCAGATCTATATTCTCTGATGAAGTGACACTGCTTTCAGTTTTAGGTTCTTGGGATGTTGTATTCAAGAGTGTTGAAGGCTCCAACTCCTGGGCATGCAGGAGCGTTACGTGAGGTCCAAGAACCAGCGAGAAAAAGACGGTGCTTAAAAAAAGACCTAGGCCACACATCCTGTTTCAGAGGAAACACCTCACTGGAAACTTCTTTTCTCTGACACAGTCTAGGTTTTAGGTAGGTTGGAAGGTAGATGTAATGTGCTTTGGATGTTGCTTGGAGGATTAAGTATGTAGCAGGAGTTTGAGGATGTTCCAGATCTTCACACTTTGCGTAAGGGTGATGTCACATGTGTAATATCACTCAGTTCCTCTGTGTTGGGACACTTATTAACAGACGTTACTTCTCTTCTTCATTGAGTCTCTGCGTTGAGTTCCTTCTTCAGTTTCCAGACTGCTGTTGTTCTGCTGGGTTAATCTTGCATTAATCTAGGCCGGAAAGACACAACCCTTCTCTTCCTCTTTCTCCTCTCTGTCTCTCTCTCACTCTTAGTGCAGCTGTGGTGGAGTGTAGAAAATAAGAGGCAAACAAAATAAAGGGAAAGTGAGAGAAATATACTGTTAGTCAATAAGTAGTGTTTACAGGCCCACAGTGTAAAATTCTTTATTGGATAAATGAGGAAATGTAGAAATGTTTTTTTCTACTGTGTGTGTGTGTGTCTGTGTGTGTGTGTGTGTGTGAGAGAGAGAGAGATAGTGTGAGAGACTATACAGGGTGGAGTGTTTGTGAAAGTTGAACTGCACATCTATGCATATTTAAATAAAACAAAGAGACTACATATAGAGTGCAATACTACTTTTTAGTTCTAATATCAGCCTTAAAACCTTGAGTATCAGCCTTTACTGATACTGATCCACTACTTCTTCTTCAAACATTCTACAACTAACACTTTACAATTATGTCATCTAAGATGAGCATCTAAAAGTAGACTCAAAGTCAGTCACACTGCTACCCCACAGGCAGAAATACAGAACTAACACACTGTGACTGTGTGCTATTTTCATAGTTATTGTGTTTGATCCAGCCGTTCCTGCTGACATCAGCCTAGTTTCTGTTTGGTGTATGATTTTCCAGCACAGTTTAACACACTGCTCACACATCAGCTTAGTTCAATTTAATTTGATTCAGTTCAGTTCAGATCAACTCCCTTCGATTTGGTTCACTTCAGTTCAGTTTAGTTTGATCAAGTTCAGTTAAGGTCAGTTCGTATCATTTTGTCATATATTTGTAATCCTTTTAAAGAAATAGGAATTTTTGCTGGAATTTTCGACTTGAACATTGACATTCATCATGAATTTTATACACAATGTAAAGGGCGTGAGGCTTTTTTAAGTTATGTAAAAAAAAACAGTTCTGCGCCGTTTGGTACTACTCTGGCAGCAGTAAACAGTGCTCCAAACACACTGCTGTATGGTCACTATTTATATTGATCAGACAGACTAAGAATTATTACGTTAAAGTACTACATTAAATACTAGAAAAAAACAAAGAATTAATCACAGCAGCGGTCCAGCAGTGGACGCACTTTAGAGAGCTGGACGGCACTAAATCCGAGAGATAAATTGCATATAAAGCATTAAAATGTTGAAGCATGCAATTTCGACATTCATTACTTAAAGAGGTTTCCACCGGCTCCTCTGTACATGGTGTTCCTGTACAGATATGGCGGAAAAGCTTAGCTCGTTCTCATATGGCGCAAAAGCTTAGATTTGTCACAGAAAGTATAAAGGAGACGGATTGGGGTCAGACTTAGCTCTCCTCACACAGGCCTTTCAGTATAAAGGTGCTGACGATATTTTGTTTGTTTGCTTGATTGTTTCTACTGGGGTTGAGGTTTAATGCTTCCCCAATTATAGACCCAACCTGTCCGCTTACACCTTCCTTCACAGTAACTGAGCACTTCAGTTGAGGTCATAGTCAAGCAAAAGTTTTCACCTCATTGTGAACTTTACTACACTTCCACTCACAGACGGGTCAGCAAATGCACTCAAGACTGGCACTTACCTTCATGCGTGAGTGTGTTGGCTCAGCCGCCATCAGCCACCAAATCCAATCTGCACGTGTCATGCTAGTGTCGCGCGCATGTAGTTAGCACCTCTATCCTCTTACCTCTCTCTTCCTCTCTTTGTCACTCATATATTCACTCACTCTCTCTTTCTCTCTCTCTGCCTGCCCCCCCTCCCTCTATCTTATTTTCAGCGTGTATCACTCTCTGCGCCTGTATGTTTCTGTGGCTGCAGGAGGACGATAGTTAAGAGTTTGGCATATGCTGGGTTGTAGTGACTGCTCTGTTTGGTTTAGTTTTGACGCTTTTGGTTTAGTTGAAAAAAAGGAGAAGCTCAAGGGGAAGTTGTGTGCTGGGTGTGATGAAACATGTGAGGCTGTACATGTGTTTATGTGTGTGTGAGGCTTTTGAAATGAAAAACATCTAACTGGTGCCTGTGTGTGTGTGAGACGGGTACGTTTGTGCCTACGAGGGTGTGTACGTGTACAGGGTGGAGCAGTTTATCGCTGAAGCACGTTGAGAAAATAGAGAAAGCGGTAAAAGACAGGAACTTAAATGAAGACGCCTCATGCAGTCTCACATCATTTTGTTGCTTCTCCATTTTGGCTGCACGTTAAGGGGCCCTCCCTTAAATGTTGTTTGTGGAAGCTTTGAAAGTTTGTTGAAATTTGAGGTTGAGCTTCACACAGTTGACCTGTATCGCTCTGGACTATTTCTGGTTTGAGTAGTGAAGCGACAGCTTGGCTTGTTAAAAAATGAAAAGTCAATGATGAAACACAGAGTCTTTAAAAGGAGTTAGCAGAGAATTCTGAGTTTTTCAAAACCGATGTGTCATCTGTTTGTGATTCTCATCAAAAGTGAAAACGTTAAGGACCAACACTGCTACAAAACAGAATACTTCTGATTAACCTGCCCACAAAATTTTCCAAGGGAAAATAACATTGAAAAACCCCCAAAACTCAATATGAAAGACAGAGTGGTCATCCATCCCCTGACAGCGTAGGAGTATGAAATGCTCTTTATGAGGTGCCTTTATTATTGTTTATTTTAATTTAATCATTTTTATGTATGTATTTTATAATACAGGATTTTTCTTCTTTTGTAGACAAATATTATTTGAAGACAGTTTAAAATTTTTAACACTTTTTTGCAAAATAAAATAAGACAAATCAAATATATTTTACTAAACTGTTTTATTGTGAACGCATTCAACTTATTTTATTAGCTGCCTTGGCTAGGCTTGTGCGATGTAGATTGTTCCCTGCTTGTGATTTGCCATTTAAAAAAATTTGACTTACGATTTAATCATCCGGTCCAAAAATAAGGCCATATGCCACGGAGTGCCACTGTTAAGAGTAATTCGGAACATGCTTCAGCACGTTTCTGTCCACAACCGATTAGCGTAATCTTGAACAAGCTTTTAATTCAGTCATGACTATTACACACATTTTAAAACAAAACATGCTCAATAGGCCTCGAAGCCTTAAACAGCAAAATTAGACTTAAATAATACCAACAACCTGACAGTCATACTCAACGAAAATGATCCTTACTCGGTTTTACCCAGGGTTACTCAGGAGCAACAACAAAATATAATAAATAATTAGGCCAACATAAATAAAGAGGTTTTAGACTTCACTGACATGCAGGAAAACAAACTGTAGGCTGTTCTTTTTAGCGTAAGTGTTCTTAGACAGGAAGACAAGCATTTCCACCATTTCAAGTTTAAGGAGAGTGTGAGAGTGTGTAACAATAATACCAACTGACTGAACAGTCCTTCTGACGCAGTGCTTGTGGCACACATTTGTGTGCATGTTTTGTCAAGGTGGGGAAGCGTTTCTCTTGGGAGATCCATGAAATTAGTCGATTTTCCTCACCGTCAGTAACATTTTAATGCAAATATGTGTTAAGTTCAGCTGCAGCCCCTATCTTGGCAGGTAGTGATGTTGACAGCGCTTCATTACTTTTTTCCGAGCAAAGTCCACAACGACGTCTTCTCTGGGGGAGAAGGTTGTGGCTCTTTCTGGTTCACGTCTCTGACATGCCCATGTTCTTCACCAAGAGCATTCATTGGTTCAACAACCCAAGCCTTTGTTGCTTCAAGATGATGCCATTATGCCCTCCACAGTAACGAGGATCCAGAAAGGTGGCGATTCGCATCGATTTTTTGATTGATTTGTGTTTGACTGAAGCTTGGCCAGAATGTTTGCTTTTATTTCTATGGTCAGTGGATCATCTTCATCCTTGGGTACAAGTATCGTTCATTAAGGGATCCATTTAGCATTGGTAGCAGTGATGAGACAGTAACGTAATCCTCACCAGAGAGGATCTCTGTAAAGTCCACTACAGGTTTAAGTGCCACGTTGAGGCCTTAAAGCAGTGCCTGATCTTGCAAAATTAGTGTATTGGGAGAACGTCTATCTTTAGCAAAGACCTATCTGACTGTTAAGGCCTGCTCCAAAATGCATTCCACTCTCTTTTGTTTCAGTCCCCATCTGTTTGGGTAGTCCTGCATAAAAAAGAAAGAACATTCAAATATTTTCATAGTGCATAGAACAAATCTAAAAAATGAAAAAGCAAATAATTAAGACAGTGAAGCTATAAAATAACACAATAAAATGTAGTAGAATATTAGAGTAATTAACAAACATTCAATAATAATATAGTAAAATAATACGAAAAATTACAAAATACAATATTAGGATAGTTAATAAGCATCTTTATCATTATTATTATTAATATTATTATTATTATGTTATTAAAGATAATAATGACTACAAACTCCATTTCCAGAAAATTTGGAACATTTTTGTAAAATGCAATAAAAATAAGATTCTGTGATTTGTTAGTTCTGTTTAACTTTTATTTAACTGACGAAAGTGCAAAGAAATAGATTTGAATGTTTTGGTTGACCAACTCTTATATTTTGTACATATCAATAATTTTTTTATTTAATCCCTGCAACCCACTCAAAAAAAGTTGGGACAGAGGCAAAATAAGAGTGGAAAGTTTATAGAACATTCAAGTTACACCATTTTGTAACATTTTACCATAAGCGGGTGAGCTGGTAACAGGTGAGGGTATCATGATTGCGTGTAACAGAAGCATCCACCAAAGGCAAGCAAAGATGGGTCTTGGCTCACCATTTTGCGCCACACATTGTGAGAGAATTATCAAACAGTTAAAAAAGAACATTTCTCAATGCAAGATTGCAAAAACCTTATGTCTTTCAACATCTACCATACATAATATTGTGAAAAGATTCAGGGAATCTGGAGAAATCTCTGCCCATGTAGAGCAACGCTGAAATCCACTGTTGAATTTATGTGACCTTCAAGCCCACGTGTCATTGCATAAGAAACCATCATGCTACTGTGTTAAATATAGACACATAAAAAAAAGAGTGGAAATGTGTGCGGTGGTCAGATGAGTCCACATTTCAGCTTGATTTTGGGAAAAATGGACATTGAGTTCTTGAAAGGGACCATCCAGACTTTTAGCAGGCAAAGGTGCAAAAGCCAGCGTCTATCATGGTATGGGGTTGCATATGTGTACATATGTGTGAAGGTACCACTGATGCGGAGGTATTTATTGGGATTTTAGAGATACACGTGCTGTCATCAGGGCAATGTCTTTTAATGGGTAAAGGTAACTGTTGTCGTCATTCACTTATGTGTGTAAGCAAGAAGCTGGACCTACCAAGTTTTAGTAGAATAGCACTGTACAGGGGTGGGCAGCATTTCTGATACATGTATTTGAAATATGTGTATCACATTTGCAGTGTGCACTTTGCTATATATATTGCGTCTGTGTATATATACACCGATCAGGCAAAACATTATGACCTTGTTTCTACGCTCATTGTCAACTTTATCAGCTCCACTTACTGTACAGGTGCACTTTGTAGTTCTACAGTTACAGACTGTAGTCCATCTGTTTCTCTGCATACTTTGTTAGCCACAATTTACCCTGTTCTTCAGTGGTCAGGACCCCCATGGACCCTCATAGAGCAGGTACTATTTGGGTGGTGGATCAGAGAGAGAAACAGATGGACTACAGTATGTAATTGTAGATCTACAAAGTGCACCTATATAGTAAGTGGAGTTGATAAAATGGACAATGAGCATAGAAACAAGGACGTCATAATGTTATGCCTGATCGGTATATATATATATATATATATATATATATATATATATATACACACACACACACACACACATTTATGCATTTATACACAATGACTTTTTAACTGCAGTTCCAAACTTTTGAATGGTAGTGTGAATAAATTTACATGTGTGTAGGGCTGTTAAGGTTAACCACTGTTAATGCATTTTCCTAGACCTTTTGAACCATCCATAGAAGTCTAGGGTGACACCCAGCTGCTCTGAGTGGTGACAGAAGCAATAGCATTGTGGAATCCTCTTGTTCCCCTTGAGAGCCTTCACTGTGACAAGAATCCACAAGCTGTATAATGAGAATGTCAAACCATGTGTTGTTTATTTTAAACAGACCATTACAAGACAAGAATTATTTTCTTGTTACTTTTCGAAAGGCTGCTGAGATCAGTTTAAGCTGCTTCTGCTGGTTTGCATCCAAAATGCCTCTGTACATGTTTGAGCACAAGATCACTTGTAATATTTTGAGAAAAACTCAGTACTTTACAGTATACTTAGTGCAGTTTGGTTGGAATTCTTCTCTAGGCCTTCTCCACACAATGTGTCCACCAGTTTGATGTTGTACTCAAAAAAAAAAAAATCAATTTGTTTAACATTAATGAAGCAACCTAAAGAACTCAAAATACAAAATACTGTACTTTATTTTGCTCATTTATTTCTTGCAGTATTTTGTAGTATGTTAAACACATTTCCTTTTTTGGAATGGTTTGTACTTTGTATCATATTTTGTTTATGCCTGTTTAAGTGTTCAATTTTTTGCTTTTTGTAACCAGCTTACATGTGTCAGACTTCTGTCTGGCTGTTGAGGTGGGGAACCTCCGGTCTTCCTCCTAATTCATCAGTAAAAATGAGAATCATTTCCTCTTTTTACACAGTGTTTCTTTTGTCCACAAGCGCACGTCCTTTTCTACCATATTAATCTCTTATTTGTAATGACACCAATAGAATGGAATTAGTTATTTATGTGGCTTTTATGAAAATTACACATTATTATAAAGTTTCATTTTCCTGTTACTGTAACAAAGTAACACTTCATACAAAGTTTAAATTCTTGGCCAATGAAAAGAAGAGATTCTGTTTATATTCAATTTATTAAACCAAATAAAGTACTCAAGTTGATATACGTACATTTTTAAAAATGACACTTTTTCAACCCAGTTGTGTATGATATGTATTACAGCACATCTTTGTTTAGGTGTCATTATGTTAACACAAACAGTAGCTAAATATTTTCTTGGTAAGAAGACACTCAGATATGTTTAACCCCTTACATATGCCAGGGCCCGCCAGCAGGCCCAAAGTTTTATTACATACTTCTATATAAGAGTAGCTCAACCAGTTTGCATTGAAGTCCCTGTACTTATTGAATAATACACCTTAGTCTGTAATCAGCCACAAATGTTAACATTGTACTGTAAAGAAGAGCTTTAGCCTTTTTAATGTAAAGTCTGTCCGAGGCATCTTAGCATATGGTTAATTAGCATGACCAGTAATTCTGATTCATTTCGACAGAATAGGGGTTGCATGACTATTCATTTTACTTCTTGACTAGTCATTGAAAAAAGTAGTCGACTAGTCCATAGTAAAACAGATCACGCGTGAGATTCAGTGCAGAAGTGTTTTTTTTTTTTGCTGTACTTTAGTAAGTTTCACCCTCAGGGACTCTTTCTGCAGAAGTTCACAGACTGTCTGATGTGAACTGCCAGCTGAATCACCACAGTTTACAGAATCTTGCCTCCCATGGGGATTTAAACTGACTCTGGTTAACCTGCACTGGTTTCATCAGTCTGATGGGAAACAGACGTTTGTTTATCAAGCTGAAGGCTGGTAGCGGTCAGTTGTCGTCTCTGCGCACCGGCGAGCCTTTGATGCTATCCCGTTTTAAAATGTTCCCTGAATTTTATTTTGAAGCCGTTATTAGCGAGTAAAAGAGATGTTCTCATGCGTGGGTAGACTGGTGTAACGCTTCATTTAATGTGAATTTGGTTTTGTTACTGGCATGTTGCACTAAACATCTGTGATCAGTTGTTTAATATGTCAGTCAAAGGGCCTTTTCAGAGACAGGGGTTCTCCAAACCTGCTTACTAGCCTCTACTTTAGCACAGTCTTACAAATCTTGCAGTGGAATTGGTTTCATTTCATATGGTATTTCCACGGTAATCAAGTACTTTCTGTTTTCCTCTCCAGCCTGTTCACTACCATTTTTCCCTAGACGACTGCTGGCCACTGCAATATCTAGTGGATTTGTTAGTCTTTAGAACCCCTTTGACTCAAAACACATTTATAATAGAAGCCAGTGGACAAGAGCTTCTATTATAAGTGTCTTTCCAGTTCTTTTCTAAATGCAGGGATATTATTGTCCATGGTAACCAACCATATGCTACAGATTCAGCAGATTATTTGGAAAAATGTTAGCCTGTTCTATTAATACATTAATAAAATCTAATAAAATAAAATCTAGTTTGTGAATGAAAATTTATAAGTTATACATGAATTTTGAGATTTCTCTCTTTCTCCCACACAAACAAACACACACTCTCAGTCTTTGTAGATCCATTCTTGTCTTATTGTCCACTAATTTCCCGCTGTCTCTCCAGTCTCTCCTCGTTTCTCACTCGTCCGTTTGCGTACCAGAACTCAGTTATGTCCTGCAGCGTCACCTTAGGCTGTATCCACATGTCCTCCGTGTTCCCTTCTTTCTGTTTCCCGCCCTTCCTCTTTTTCCTGTTCTCTTTCTCCTGCACCTTCCCTTTCTTGTCTGCCTCCAGCGTAGATCCGTTGGCGTACCAGAATTCCACTCTTTCATCTGTGGACGCTCCGTCTGTCGCCCACAAGCTCTCTCTCTCTTTCCTTGAAGACCTCTTTCCTCCTCTGTCCTTCCGTCCTCTTCGTTTTGCCCTCTTTTTCACTACAGACAGACGTGCCCATAGGAATATAGTGAGGCCTAGAAAGATAGAAGCAGCCATGCCCAGACTCCACATTGTGATGAAACAGACCAGCTTAGATGGTTGCTGAGTCTGAGATGAAGAGTCTTTATTGAAACAGTTCGGCCACGCTGCCCATTCAGCCTCTCTGGACTGGTTCGTTGTTGTTACAGCCTCTGTGCTGTTAGATGTCAAGGTGATGGCCGGAGAAGTGCTCCAGACAGAGTCGCTGCGTTTGTCAGTGGTCTCTGTTCTGGTCCTGCTGTATGTACTAGTGGTGTATGTACTAGTTTTTTGAATTTTGGTGACATTTTCTGTCCATTCCTGGTTTTCTGTTGAGGATGCTGCTGAAACTGTGTTTCCACTTGTGCTGGACACTAGAGGTCCCTCTGTATTCTCTGTGGATATGTTTTTACCATCTGAAGACGTGGCTGGTGTCATACTTGTTGTGATGTAATGTCCTGTTGTAGCTTGACTGTGCTGGCCATGCTCAGTCTTCATGTACCCAACTGTGCTGTTTCCTGATGTTGTGTGGTTTCCAACGTATGTGTCCAGCTCAATTTGTGTTGTGTTGTCATTTGCTGTGGTGTGACCTTGTTGCTCTGTTGTGAAACTGTAGCTTCCTTCACTCCTCTGGGTTGGCACCCTGTCCATCCAAATGGTGTTTGTGACATTGTACATATTTCTTTGGGTTGTGGTGACATTTTCCATCCATTCCGCTCTCTCCTGATTAGTGTCAGTGTCCGGAGACACCATATTCGAACTTGTGCTGGACACCAGGGGTCCCTCTGTATTGTGCATAGATATGTTTTTTCCATTGTTGGGTGTCACTTGTGTCACAATGGCTGTCTTGGGTGTGGTAATGAAATATCCTGTGGTAATTTCGCTGTCCAAGTCATGCTTTGAAGAAGGTACAGCACTTATGTGCTGGACTGTGCTGGGTTCGTGACTTGTTTGGGAGAAGGTTGTTTGGATAGGGCGATCTGTCTGGATGGATGTTCCACTTTCCCAGTGGTTTACATCCATTGCGTGTCCAGTATGAACTCTGTCCTGACTCGTGAGATCTTCAGTTTTGAGTCCCGTGGTAAAAACACCAGATCTTGTTCCTGTTTCTGGATTTTCGCTGTGTTTTTCTGTGAGACTTGCAGGTTTGGAAGAGACAGTTTGTCCAAGATTCATGACTTTGTAGTGAGAGGTTCTGATTGCGTTACTTACATTCTCCGTTCCTGCTGAATTCGGGGAACTGCTCAGTGCTTCCTGTTTATTGGCGTGAAGTCTTGTTGCTGATGGTTGCAGGGTGGACATTAGATGTTGAGTCCACTTTGTTAGGAACTCTTCTGCAGGTGGTGACACTGTTGTCTCTGCGATTGCAGGTGGTTTCATGGTCTGAGTTGTTGTTGTTGTTGTCCCGAGCTTCTTTGTTGCCGATGTTCCTGTGGTGAGTTGTGGGTTTGTTGTAGTAACTTTTTCCAGGCCACCTGTGGTCAGTGGATTGTCATAGAGAGCCCAAGCTATTAGAAGCTGAGCAAACCACACCACTAGAGAGACCGTTCTCATCTTCGTTATCTGTGTTGGAGAAACACCAAAGACTTAGTGTGGATAAGATCTGCCCACCCAAAACTTTGTAAACCATCATTGTGAAACATCCCTGCACTTATTCACATTTCAACATCCTGTGCTACGTGCCGCTCTTAAAATCACCCCACACCCAACGTGAAATCACATGTCGCGCAGCGCCAAACACAAAACCCAAAAAATACACCATAACTTCAGATAAAACTCTCTTTAATCTGAGCCTTTGTTTCAACAAATTGAAAGAAACAATTTACACAGTACCTTATTATGCGCTTCTCATCTCATTGTCTCTTCCTCTTTCTCCATGATTTCCTCTTTTGCGCAGACGATCACTGCCACACTGATGCTTTCTGGGATGTCTCACACCACTAGTTCACAGGCGGAAATGACAGCATGGCTGCCATGGTGATGGCAGAACGAGGTGAGAAATAAAGAGTAATGCAAGGATGTGGTATGGCGGCTCCGCCCCTCTTTCCATCCACCAAAGTGCAAAGTAAAACGAGTATGTTAACATCCTGTTGACTCATATCGCTCAACGATGCTTCTTAGGTCATAGACACCTAAAGAGGATGTGTTGCTTTGGTAAATTAGCAGTTTCCTGGAGATAAGGCACATAGAGCCTTTGGGTTTAAACCTTATATACAGTAGCTGGTCCAGCTGGTCAACCCCTGCTCATGATCTGCTCAAGGTGTTAGATTTGGACTACAGTTGAACCCCTGCTGGAAATGATGTCTACAGGACTGGGGTTGTTCATCCCTGATTTACTGTTTTAATCTACAGCGGTTAAAATGCTATTGTTACTTCCTGTGAGAGTAGATACAGACTTAAATGATGCTTCACAGCACAGTGAATCTTTTTGTGCATGGTGTGATTCAATAGCGTTGGTTATTTTGAACATATAAATGAATCTAGCTACATAAATCTTGATAACAGCAGATTAAAGAAGGATTAACAGTGGCGCCAGCAGCTGGTTAGCTTGGAGAAACTCATGAAACAAAATAAAAACTACCAACCTTGAGTCAGCTGGAGGGGGGGGGTCTCCTTTTCAACCATCTAATAAACCATCTTTGTTTTGTGAAACTGGTTGTTTGAATTGTTTTTTGTTGTGATCGTGTGATGCATTATCTGTGTTTTGATGGGTTTCATGAAGTTGAGACGCAACTGTTGCAACTAAGTTTCAAGTGAGTTGCAGGATGCTTAACATTTTGCAACTCAAGTGCAGTTTAGCTTCATGTAGGTTTCTAGCAACCAAAGTCACCATGTAAAGCCAGCCTAAAAACATAAGTATTTTCTCTGTACAGTTTTTTTTGTTGTCAAGCTTTTAAACCTATGTGGCATGCGCCCGCCCCCCGGGCCCCGACGATGACGGCCGCGAGAGGAAGGCGGGGCCCAAACACCCAGCGGCGACAAACCTCGTCCAGGACGGCGGGGAGAGAGCCGCGAGTGGGGAGGGGGCGGATCCTTGCACCTTCGACCCGGGCGGCTGAGCTGCGAGCTGGGGGCGGTGACGAGGAGGCGGAGCGGCGAGCTCTCGTTCCCTCTCGGCTCGGGTGCTCACGCTGCCCTTAATGAGAGGCAGCTAATGCTGATCCGGCTGGCACCACGAGCGCCTTTTAAAAGAGCTGAGAGGGAACAGAGAGAAGGTGAGGTGTAGTGGAGTGGCCTCGCTGCGTAACAGGGGGCGGGGCCCAGGCGGCGGAGCTCGGGACTCGCTCCTTGCCCTGGTGCCTCTCGTTGCCGGCACCGTCTTCCTCCTCCTCCCGCCGTCACTCGCGTCACTCTGGTTACTCCGAGGAGCTCGGGCTTTGCGCTCCGCCCCCTCCCCACTCGCGGCTCTGTCCCCGCCGTCCTGGCCGAGGTTTGTCGCCGCTGGGTGTTCGGGCCCCGCCTTCTTGCCGGCTCTCGCGGCCGTCATCGTCGGGGCCCGGGGGGCGGGTGCATGCCACAACCTATTAAGAATCACAAATAAGATATTCAAATATTAAATAGATTTAAACAATCTGAATCTATTTAATATTTAGTATTTGCTTATGATTATATGTCTTACACTTTATTGGGTTTAAATGTTTATTGGGTTTTATGTCTTGAGGCTTGTGGTATGTTCCTTGAGAAGGACGCTGTGACATGACATAAGGACTTTACTGTGTTTATGCACGTCTCCAGTTTCCTACCAGACATAGCAGTGGCCTGTGGTACAGGAGTTGGAATGGTTGGAATGTTTTTTCCATCATTGTATACCTGAGTGAATGGTGACCATTCGGGACCCTTCAAGGGTTTGGGCCTGACTGAAAGTGACTCGTGCTGACGTTGTAAGGATGCCCATGAGCTTTGATCTTTGTTGAATAAATCTCCGAACCAAGGTTCATGTTTTTGTTACATTGTGTACATTTGGTCGGGTTGGTTTTTCACACTGCGGTTTAGCAAAACTGTGCACTTTAGTGCATTAAAGAACTTTGCCTTTGTCCAAACCTATGTCCTATTGTTATCACCTACGTGAGCTGCGTCTTCCCACACTTGACACTGATTGGTTGGTAGAGGAATGTGCATCTGATGATGGCGTGTTTTCAGTTTGGCCGGCAGCCTTTTCTGTTTGAACTGAGAAAAGTGAACGTCCTCTCTCTCTGATCATCTCAGAAAAGAAGGTATAAGTTTTGGCATTTTTTTGGCGTTCAAGTTGACATTTGACTTATTCATCAGACCAAATTACAGTTAAGATTAAATATTTCGCATCCTCCTCCCCATATGTGCTACTGTGGCTCTTCTCTTCTGGTTCTTTTCCTTCTTCTGTTGTTTAACGGGTGATAATATCCTGCCTCAACTTTCTGTAGTTGATCTGAAAGTCAGAACCACCCACAAAAGTGTTTTCACACTGCAAACGAAGCGAAACCATTGAAACGGTTTGATCCGGGCAGAGACCACCTTTTTTGGTCAGACCAAATTTCGGTCCTTTGGCCTAGACTGTGGTCCGTGGCACCTTTCACATCTACTGTTTTGGTCTCACATTTCCTGTTTTGGTTCAGGCCAACCTGAAAAGTCCAGTGGTCAGGACCAAAAAGGTGGTTATGAAAGCACCCTCAGAGTTTTAGCCTGCTGATTTCCTTCTTTAAGCTTTTGACTTAGTTGAGCCTTTGTCTGTGAGGTTATGTGTGTTTGTGTGAATGTGTTGAGATTATTTTATCCCTTTTAATCCGTTCTTTTAATTATGTTCCTGTAATCCTGAAAAACGTTTTTTCTTATTATATCTATGATCTGTTCTACTCTGAAATTCAGTCTTATTAGTTTTGGGGTATATCGCATCATAGACATGTTTTTCATACATTTCTACATTTTATTTCAATGATGCAGTAAAATTACCCCATTTATAGAGACAGATCAATATATTTTTGAAGATCTTTTCAAGCTTCTTTATCCTTGGACCAAGTGCCAATCTGTGATTGCAGTTTTTCTTTACCAGATTCTCTGTTCTTGATAATTAATTCAAGCAGGCCAAAGCTGGCCACCATCTTCACTATCAGTGGTTAGCTGTCAACCCCATTGTCATACCCATGGTTTTCTTCTTATTGAGCTCTATTCCCATCTTTTCACTCTCTCATAAGAGTACTTGGCCAATAAAGAAATTCCAATTGTGGTTAATATATCTGATCCTGCACATCTCTTCTTTCCCTTTTGTACCCAGTCTTCTCTCCGTTTCTCCATCTCTCCTGTATTCTCTGTGCTCTTTATCATCCCCTTTTGTCCCCTGTGTGCTGCCGTAGCTGATGTGTCCGTGTTTAATTGGGGATTGTCTTGGATTAGTGGTGTGAGATAGCCTTAATCTATTTGAGTCACAGGGACACTGTGTGTGTGTTTGTGTGTCTGATGAGATGAGGCTAATCAGAGAGAAAAGCAGGCTGGACATGGGCCCTTAGAGTGCAGTGGCAAAAGAATAAAAACAAGCAAAGCAAAGTGACGCTGAACCAAAAAGTATAAGAGATGGACAGTGAGGGGGCCAGACAGCGAGAGAACGAAGAGGCAAAGGAGTGCCAGATGTCTTCTGAGAGAGAAGAGGAGAGCTGGGAGGAGAGGGGAGAGGAGAACATGGATGGAGAGGGTGAGGAGGAGGAGGAAAATGAGGGAGAGGTGAGGGACATGGAGGAGTGGAATGGGTTTCTTTTGGAGGGAACAACAGAGAGGGGTCAAGAGGAAGACGTGTTGGTGGAGTGGAAACCTGGTGACCCTGTGACCCCGCAGTATGTCCTCAGACTAGCCGGATACACAGAGGGTAAGTAGGCCATTACTACGTTGAAGCCTGTGCAGCGGAGCTTATGTGTGAGCATGTCTTTATGTTTATTAGTACATTAATTAATAAAATAAATCATTATTTCCCCACTACAGTCCTGTAGCCCCCCTGCACTGCACGGTTTGGTTTTCCTGCCCTGACATGTCTGATTCAGCTCAAGAAGGGTTTGATAAATAGCTAATAATATGATTCAGATGTGTTGGAGCAGAGGAAACACAAAACTATGCAATGAAACTGGTTTGTGAAATTTGTCACATTGAACATTGCTGAGAACATGTTCCATTGCTTTAGAGCAGGGTGGGCCTGAATTTGTTGTTTTTCTCAGGGTGTTTGTGGTGATAGAAGCTTTTGCCCACAAGCCACACTTTGGGCTGCCCTTTTTTAGAGCCCACAGTAGACCACACAGTAGAATTTGGTACCACTTTGTGAGCATTTATATCAAAGCAGTAGAAACAACTACTGTTCAAGATAATTCATAATGAAAACAACCTGCATTTATATATAAAAAAAACACTGCAAAGTTAAATCCAAAATAAAAAATGAAAAGAGTTTAGAGCAGTTATTAAATAATCAACTGTTTCTGCTGTCTCATGTCCGTGTGTGTAGTACATTGTACTTCAGCTTATCACAGCAGGGGGTGCTGTCTGTTCCCAAATGGAATTGAGGATTACAGCCAACAGCAAACAACATATAAAACACATACACTCAGGGGGGAAACTGATGTTCTAAAGATTTGACTGTTTTAATGTTAGCAGACTATCTGTGCTCTCCTGAAGACAACATCTACAACATCAGCTTCTCCCGCTTCAAAATCAGAGACCTAGAGGGAGGATCTGTGATTCTGGATCTGAAGAGACACTGTCCAACAGGTGTGTGTGTGCATGCGAATGTGTGTTGTTTCCTTTCTAACTGCAAAACATCTGATGCAACTACTCCACCCTTCTACTTTTGACCTTCCTGCATTTGCTTGGAGGCAGCATTTCCCTCATGTGTTTACTCTAATCAGGCATTTGTGTGCATGTTCTCATTAATGTGACCATATTCTATATTTTCCTTTTATTTGTTTCCCCATAAAGCCCACTTGTATGGTTGTATGTGCTGAGAACATTTGCCAACCTCTCTTTATTCCTAATAAGTAAAGTCTTTTTTACTGTGCCTTTAAGATCACAGTATGTAAATGACTTTTGTTCTGATTCGCTGTTCAAACATTCGCTGTTTGCCTCAGTGGCAAAAATACCTTCAGCTAAACTGCTGAAGGCTGAGTGAGTGGGCACATGTAGATGTGTTTGTGGTTGTGACATCAAAGCCATGAAGAATTCAGAACAGGTTGTTTTGCCAATTGGTATTTATATATGGTCTAAAGAGTGAACGATACCCTGTCAAACGGGAAAACAGTTGTATTTCCATTTCATGAGCCCTTTGAGCCAACAAAATTGCATGACTTGACCTAAAGTCATAATTGATGTTTTTTGCTTTAATAATTTGTGTCCCTGTTCATATTAAGCACGATTCATCATAAAAGTCTTGTTTTTCTGTAATCTTCCATCAAAACATAGTGATGGTTGCCTGCCTCTAAAAGATCTTGTGATTTTTTCGATAACGTCACCACGCACCAGTGGTGTGAAACGTTAACAGATATCATGTTTTACCTTTTCCTGCTGCCCCAGCTATCATAAAAAGAATCAGAAATACGCCATGGTACGGAAGAAAAATGCAATATGACTGCAAATTCACATTGACTTGAACTATCCATCTGTTCTCACTGTCATAGACAAGAACATAAACAATGAGGACAGCTGAAATATCTTTTCCCTTCATCGACACTCACCACGACTCACCACATATTCTTTATTTCCCTTTCTTTCTCTTTTTCTATGTCTATCTCTTTCTGTCTCTTGCTCTCCCTCAGAAATTAAAGATGTGAAGGAGCAGGAGGCAGCTCGATTTATCCAGTATCACTTCACTCCTGCATTTCTAAATTTGAGGGAGATCGGTGCCACGTATGTACCATTATGTTAAGTGTTTATGTATTCTATAAATATGGGTATTGTGTATTTTTCTCTTGTTGTTTTTATATAGCGTCTGTGTTTTTGTGAGCTGTGACAATTTCCTGTCAGTTTTGAGCAATACAGCGATGAAGTACTTTGTTTAGGAATGCACCGAACGTTCGGCTAATCAAAATGGCACTTTTAGTTTTGATACAGAAAAGAGACAAACAAAACAAAGATTTCAGAGGCTTACAATAAATCGTGATAAGACTCTACAAATAATTTTCATGGTAATGAAAATGAGAAAAAGTGTTTAAAACACTATTTGTTGCCTTTGCTCTCCTACACAGACCCGTTTAAACAGTTTGAGTCGCAGCAGAGAAACACTGAAGATGTCGCCCATGTGGAACTATTTCAGGAGACATTAGACAATGGATTTATATTCTCTGTGCATGATGAGTATCAAAGTTGTATACAACAGCTAAGAACTTCACCACTACATATTTGATGCCACATGAAAACACTCGATATGCAGAATATGAAAAATCAACAGAAGCAGAAAAGAGGTCCCTACTAGCACACTGACACCATCTTGTAGACAATTTTTGAAATGAAGAAAATACTCACAAATGACAAACAAAGTGCAAAAAATGTACAGAAGTGTAGCAAAAAAATAATAATGTGTTGTATGTGTTGTAGCTTACATACTGTAATAATAACTTATTTTGGCCCAATGTGTCCTGAATTTCGGTTTTGGCCAAAGATTTTCATTTTGGTGCATCACTAATTTTTGTAATTGTATTATTGGCCTGATGCTGATGGGGTAGTGTGGAGTTTGGGTTTGTTCTTGGTCTAGTATTAGTTTCAAGGACACAAATCTCAAACTTGCTGAAAATCTCTCTCTCTCTCTCTCTCTCTCTCTCTCTCTCTCTCTCTCTCAGGCTGGAGTTCACTGTAGGCAGTAGGGCGGTGAACAGGTTCAGGCTGATAGAGAGGCACTACTTCAGAGACATGCTGCTGAAGACTTTTGACTTTGAGATTGGCTTCTGCATCCCGCACAGCAGAAACACCTGTGAGCACATCTACAGTTTACCAGACCTGGACCCACGCACCAGTGAGTAAAACACACCCACACCAGGGGTCTAACAATACATTATTTTTGCATTCAATGCAGTTTTTGTTTCATGATTCAATTCAATTTGATATTTTATAGGTTAAAAAGGTTTTGGTTCTACAGAAGTATACTTTTATACTACACAGATTTGTCTCACATAAATGTAAAAAGCTTAAAATAACTTTTGCAGTGCCCCCTCAAAATCACAAATCCTAAAATGTGTGTGAGTCACAACAAAACCCTCAAAGTCATAACACCTAGAGTGTGTAAGTGATAGAAAGAAAGCCGAGAAAGCAGAAGAAAGTAATGGGCATATTGGCAATACAGCAATTTAAAATTTCAACACACATTTGATTTCTTCTGATCTTCTTTTAGTTTCATTTTCTATTTTATTGTCTTTTATCTCTACAGTGCACTTTAATTTATTTTTTTGTAACTATTTTGCAAATGCATTTTTAAGATGCTAGATCTCAGGATATTATAAGATTTATTATTTAATGCTTTTGTTTTTCTGCGTTTGTGTGAAGCGCTTTGAATTGCAGCTGTGTATGAAGGGCATAATACAAATAAACTAAACTAAATCTAGTTATGTATAAGTAATACGAATTTTCTAGTCCTAACCTTAACCTCAGCAACCAAAAAGAAATGTTTTTGCGTGTTTCAGTTTTAAAAATGAAATATGGTGATTTTGCAGAAATTAATAATTAAATTAGCATCATTTCACTGATTTAGCTGTTTTTGCTGCAAAATCTGCACATCTCTGTCCTGAAAAATGTAAGAAAACAAACATACCACATATATATCAGATACAGGCAAATGTTCAGAACAGAGAGGCAGATTCCATAACAGGAATCAATGAAAGTCCAGTCACGTGTTACAGATCGTGTACAATTACTGCTTGTAGAAGGTTCACAGTTGTGGTTATTCAGAGATGCAGGTTACAGAAGATTGACCAATTGTCTTCTCTCTTTTTTCCAGTCGAGGAGATGATTGCCCATCCTTTTCAGACACGGTCAGACAGTTTCTACTTTGCAAACAACAAGCTGATCATGCACCACAAAGCTGAGTACTCCTTCTGCAAGGGTATGGAGATGGACACAGAGTGACCAAAGTCTTCATCAAGCATTGAGAATTTGGGTGACTGTCTTTTGTGCCCGTCCACGCTGTGTGTGTGAGCATGTATGAGTGTGATTTTGTGGATAGAGAAATGAGATCAGGAATGTAACGTCTTATTTAAAGTGATAGGTTGACCAAGATACAAATTTACAGTTTTTCCTGTACCCCGTATGCAGCTGATCTACTGAGATGTTCGGTGTCTGAAGTTTACTTCTTTAGTTTTGGCCAAAATGAAAGTGTGGAGAAAATTCAGGCTTTAGTGGCTGCTGCTGTTGTCATTATGTAATTACTTAACAGTTCCACACACTTAAAAGGATTTTTCAAAATTTTCATATAAATAGTTAAGATGTAATGAAGTGGTTTGTTGTGAAATGCTTCCTTCCAGAGAAACTTACCGAGTCAGAATTGTTCACAGTGGTGGTGACAGGAATCATTTTTGGCCTAAAATGTATTTTAATCAATTTATTTTGATCTATTGGGATAGAGGTAGAGGGATGCATGAAGGGTGTTCTGAAGCAAAATGGACCCCAAAGAATGATTTTAAATATTTTCCAGATTTGTCACTACTTTACCATCATCAACATTATATATATATATATATATATATATATATATATATATATATATATATATAAACTCACAAGACACGTGTAGGTTCACTGGTGATATTTGGATAGTAAATAAAATGGTTATATTTGTGCTGTAGACATTGGGACCCCGGTTCCTATCACCACCACTGTAAAGAAATCTGAGTTGGCAAGTTTCTCTAAGAAGGAGCCATTTTAATCAAACCACTCTTTGTTTATATCTCAACCACTGAATGATGCAGATATTGTGAAAAATTGGTGGAATTCCCCTTTAAGACAACAAACATGTCTTGGTTGATTAATTACAAAAACTATAAATTTGTTTTTTGTACATTTATGATGAACAACTATCGCTGTTCTGGTCTTAGTGGGCCTGTTTACACTTTGCATCAGCATGCGTTTTTCGTGATCGGATAACGTTGGGATTTCACCTGTCCCCATGAGAAGACAGGTGTAAACACCCCTAGAACACACTGTGAGCGGAATACAATCTGAAATGCATCTTCACCGCATTTGGCACAATAGTAAATGAAATGTGTTTTTGTTTTCCGTAAACAGTTATGTGAACAGAAAAGTGTTTGCTGAGCACTGACTAGCAGGGGAGAGAATAAACAATGAAACAGAAGATGGAGGATACGCAAGGCTGGAGTTATTCCCAAACTAAGAGCCTGGACACTGCAAGAAGACCCTCCGGGTTGCTGAACGTGTCCAAGCCAAGCTTGTTGACTTGTGTCGCAACAGGGAGAAAAGTAAACAAAAGTAAAATGGAAACGACATATGTTGATGTGTTTTTCACGCAGAAAAAATCCACATCAGATCTCCGTTTGGTCACATTGGGGAAGTATTGTAGTGAAAAGTGAAAATGGAAGCCGGCCAGAGTTTATCCAGGTAGAATCCAGACACAAAACACTCGTTAATACAAGACGAAAACAGGGTCAGTGACAGTTTAGGACCAGTGCTAGACTAGTTCCTGTATAGTGGGTCATTTAAGTACAATATTTAGGTTTGACGCTGTGCAGTTCTTGTACAGCTGTATGATGGAGACGTGTCATGCTACTAACACTAAATAAATAAATAAACACTCTCTATCAGAATGACATTGCCTGTTGTGTTGTTTTTTTATTTTGAATGTGGAGCACCTCATGGACCTGGCTAGTAGTCCATCTGTTGCTGCACAATCTATCAACTCCCCCCTACCTCATTTATCATTGCTCACTTTTTGACCACAGGACTACTGTTGTCCAGATATTATTTGGGCGGTGGTCCAGTTTCAGCACAGCAGTGATACTGACGTGGAAGTACAGTGATGCTGCTGTAAGTTTATCCAGGCTTTTTACCATCAGTGTTACTGCTAGGTTAAGAGTGCCCACCACCCAAAAACATTCAGCCAAGAGTGGCTCTATGGTCAGTGACTAATCACTGATATAGGGCTTGATGGCTAAGTTTCTCGTTCACGATTCCTTTTTGGGGATTTAACCTCTTAAATGGCCAGGGGCCAAAGTTTTGTTACAGACTTCTATAACCTAAGAACAGCTCAGCCAGTTTGCATTGAAGTCCTTGTAGTTACTAAATAATAAGGCTTAGTATGTAAAAATCCTGAGATTTTAAGGGGATTAAATTCATTCTGTTCTTCTGGTTCAGCTGCTTATCCGCTTTTTAAGGTTTAACACATTATTTTTGAAAAATAGAGCCAAATAAACTTATGTTCTTGGGCTGATAGATGGATCTTATAGTTTTACTCAACATTTCTATTGGAGGATGGAGTTTAACTAATAATTTACTGGAGCAATTCTGTTTGAATGTGGTCAGAACCCACCAGCAGGCCCAGACTTGTCCTCACTGTTTGTCATTCTTATAACTTAATATATAATCACATATATATTAAGTTCATATAATGAACTCCAAATTATGATGCTCTATAGTAAATGTTGAACACTGTATTTTGGAGGTGCGACCGATTTGTTTGGTTTGTTGTCAGATTATCACTAATAGGTATAAGTTTGGTCATACAGTGGGATGTTTTTTTTACTCAGCATTTCCCTCCTTCTTTTAGTTCTGTCCAACTGAGTATCATAAACATCCTCTATCTATTCTTGTCCTCCTTCCTCTCATCAGGGGCTCTTCAACACCCCCTCACTGCCATCCCACAAACAAGCAGTAATCGCCTTTTAATTCATAATTCTCTCTTCTGTCCATTTCTCCACAAAAGCTCTCTGTTCTGTTGTGTTCATGTGTCACACACACTCCTTCATCTCTTTGACCCACTATTACACACTCAGATATCAATCTCTCTCCTTCTAATGAAACAAAGGCTTTTAAGTTATGTGAATTGTGGCTTTCAAACAGTGAGTGTCTCTGTTTGTGAGAGAGAGAAAGAAAGAAAGAAAGAATGTGTTGTGTGTGCACACTTTGTGTGTTTGTGTGCAATATGGTAAAAATGTATTGCGATACTTTAACATTTGTCATACACAATCCATAATGTGTATGACGATAATTAGCTTTTCTGATATCTGTTAAGTTGGACATTTGCAGTGCCACAGTTTAAAACTCTTATCAAAATCTATGAGTAGAGTGATTTTTTTATGTTTTTATATTCAGTCCCGTTCCACCCATTAGATAGGTCTCCCCATCACGCAATGCTCTCAAGCTGTCAAACTGCTGCTAAAGCAATGTCACAAGAACGGTGCGTTGAAAAGAATGAGTGTGCTCCATTTTTCTGTGCCAGATCGCTGCTTTCTTCCTAGCGGCATGGATGGAGAATCTTGTTTAAATGGACTTTTGGCGGCACTTGCACTGGCCTGTTGCGTAGTCTAGTTACAATTGAAATAAAAATGTCATTAGAAACTTTAAGCTGTCACTAAATTCAGACAGTACATTTCAGTTCTGCCATTCTTTGCCAGGGTTTGCCTTGATTTTCTGTGTGTCGTTTGGTGTGATGTGATACAACCACCGACTGGGCTGGAACTTGGCAAAAGTGGCATATGTCGAATCATGTGCCGCTTTTAAATAGAGTGGAAACCCACACAGCAACACATACTAGAGCACACCATTACTAACAGACACCTGCATTAGCTCACTCAGAGAAAGGGAGGGCAATTATAATGGGTGTACTCCGTTTACCTGTGCCTGCTCGCCACTTTTTATGCAGTGGCACAGGCGGAGAACCCTATTTAAATTGAGTGTTGGCGGCATTTATGCAAGCTCTCGGAAACTGTTGCATAGCCTGTCTACAGTTAAAATAAAAAATGTCACTAGAAACTGTTATAGCTGTCCTTATTCAGCGCAAAAAACAAGTGTGAGCAATATTAAGTACATTTCTATTTTATTATTTTTTTGCCAGCGTTTGTCATTATATCCCCTGTGGCTTGTGTTATGATAAGATGCAACTGAGCCAGAGCTTTTGGGCGGCAAAAGAGGCGTATGCCAGATCATGTGGTGCTTATAAATGAAGTGTCAACCACGCCCACACAGCTGATACTCAAGTGCAGCCATTCTCTTGGGCTCCCAGCCATGAACTTGTGATCTCCCATCGACAGGGCCAGCGCTTAGACCAGCAGTGTATTTCAAATAAAAAAGACACTGAAGCAAAACTACATCTTTTTGGCAAAAATGACATGGTGGTGTGAGTTCGAATGGTGTGGTGTGCGCCACTTGCTGAACAGAGCTCCGAATCACTATGTAATTGGTTCTAAGACCTCCCCTGACTGTGACTGGTCCACATGGTGCAACATGGTTAGGCTGAACAGAGCTCCGAATCACTATGTAATTGGTTCTAAGACCTCCCCTGACTGTGACTGGTCCACATGGTGCAACATGGTTAGGCTGAGTGTCAGAAAGGTGTACATCAAGTTTTTTACAACACCATGTTTGGTGGTAGTTCGATTTCATTCAGTTCTTTCGCTGTTTTTAAGTACACAGCCAGCTTTAGACAGTTTCCCCACTTGGGAGTAGAGATTGGCAATGTGACAATATTTTATGATAAATTTTGTTATCATGATGTTTTTCTGAGCATATTTTGGAGATCATCAGTACTTAAAGAACACTGATGAACTACATGTTTAGTCACAAAGAGAGCATATTTAGTCCTATTTTTAGTGCAGTGCAGTGTGAGAAAGGTTCAATGAAAATCTTTGTTCCCAGAGTTTGACAGCTGTTTTTCACATGTGGCACTACTAGTGTATTGTGTTAGTTGTTCAAAATATTAATACATAATTGCCATGAAAAAGCTTTTGTGAAAAAAAGGCTTTAAATATCATTAAGTTATATTTTTGCCATATCAACCATCCCTACTTGGGAGCCACCAGTTATACAGTATTATACATTATATGCAACATAAGTCATGTAAAGAAGACTAATTTTGGTCTCTTTTCAATCAATCATGTGTTCATTGTTCTAATGATGTCCATGACTTGCTCAGCAAAGCATATTGTGATAAAATGTTTCACAGTAACAATAAAATGTCGTCATATTGTCTGTCCCATATGTGCGTTTAGCTGTTATAGTTTTCACTACTTTATGGGTTTAGTGTTTTTTGCCCCCTGTTGTGTTTAACAAATCCTTGTTTATATTCTGTATCCTCTGAACATCACACACACTCTCTTCCTCTCCACGTTGCATATTTAACACTCTGTCATGTGGGGGAGAGCAGAGAGAGAGAGAGAAAGAAAGAGAGAGAGAGAGAGAGAGTGACAATTACACAGACAGAGGAATCCACAGAAAGATGAGAAAAGAACAGAAGAAACATGAACAGAAAATGAAGTAATATGTAAAAGCAAAGTGTTTACTGTAGAAACCAGGTTTAGTGACCAGGATTTGTGCGTTTGGTTGTCACTTTGGGACGATGACTTGAGCTACTGCAAGAAACTGAGATTCTTTTTCCTTTATCTGGACCGTCTGTTTAACTGGATAAGATTACGCTTCAGTAACACTACAGGAGTGTGAGCGCCAATGCGTTTGTGATGACCCTGAATTCCGAGTCCTTTTTGAAGATGATTGCTGCTATTGCACTGTGTATTTCCCTGCTCACTGGAATTTCCTGCACTCCAGCGCCTGACCAGCACGCACATGGAGTGGTGAGTAAATAAAAACACTGCTCTACAATCTCTTCCTACAAACTTAAAACCTATTTTTCTCAGCACTTTCCTTATTTGCTTATTCCTATTCCTCTTGTTGATTTTGTCCTTTAAATGGTTGTTTTGGGGTGATTATGTAGTTGCTGTTGTTATTTCTGTAAAGCAACATTGGGTTGTTGTCAGTGACAAGGTATTTTATATATTTATGTAAATGTAACAATAAACAGACTCTTTTGGGAATCTTAAAAAATGACTCAGAGACACAGTCTCCTACATAGTGAAAGAAATGAGCCCAAATATTACACCAGTAGTTGATGTCACGCTTACATTTTTGCTCTGTTGCATCCAACCTGTACCAGGTAATTAGTTCCTGCTGGATTGGTTCAGAAGGGAAATTGATCATGACTTACGCAAAAATGTGGGCTGTCAAAGTTCGTGTCTGCAGTACTGAGTATCTGAATTCAGTTCAATATAAGGAGACAATATGTGGAAACTGACTATTGTTCAATTATTAATCTCAAGATTTATGACTCAGTAACTATGAGTAACAGTACTATGAAATATATATATTTTATATATGTAAATATATGTATATATATATGTGTGTGTGTGTGTGTGTGTGTGTGTGTGTGTGTATACATTCTGTAAACTGTAAAGTACCAGTAAATTACGTGCATTACTTTAACAGTAATTTAGTTAGCTCCCTCATGAGCTCCAAAACTGCTCTTTCAGTATCTGCCTTGTACTCATATTGAACTTCTACATTTTCTCATATTGTCCAATGTTGTTTTCTGTATATCTGAAGCGATGAGTAGCTCCTCTCTGTTGGACTTCTACCATTGGCTTATCTTTCCTCTGTATGTCCCCACTGTGTCTGTTTAATCTTCCTTGTAAACTTTTCTTAATTTTATGCATGCTGCACTGTCTGGTGGCCTACAGGAGAATTTTCCCCTCTGTTTCTTTAGACCAGAAAGTGCTCTGAACCTTACAGATTTTCTTCATATCAGCACTTTGGTAACATCAACAACTTGCAGCTCTATGGGGAAGAAAAGTTGTCACAATGCTGCAAGTGTGCATAGAGGGCACTCTTGTGTGTAATATCTCTTTATCTTCCTCTCACTTTGTAGGACTGGTTGACTCGTTACGGTTACTTACCACCTTCCAACTCTCCAGTTGGCCGACTGCAAATGAAGGAGGGAATTGAAAGAGCTGTCCGTGAGATGCAGCGCTTTGCTGGGCTCAAAGAGACAGGACGGCTGGGTAACGCATCCATAATATCCACATTACCGTCAGCTCACTCACACATAATCACTCTGTCTCTCTCCTTCGTTCTTCTTTTTTATCAGTAATGCATTAGTTTAGAAAAATCAAATGTCACAACTTTCTCAGAAGCACTTTGCAGAGCTAAAAACATTAGTAGCAGCAGCTAATTTGAAGCCTGAATTTTGTCCATAGTTTTGTCCATTTTTGTAGATAGTGTGTCATATAGTGTGAGAAACCACATAAGTCTATTTGAGGTTACTTAAAAACTTGGCACAGTTTGAGTCAAGTGTTCGATGATTTAAGCATCTAGTTTGCACAGTGATAATTGGTGGACATAAGCTTCCATTACTTGTCAGCTACATTAGCCTCATAGCTCCAGTGAAAAACCGAAGAAGCAAACTTCAGACACCAAATATGTACTGACCGATTTACTGCATTTGGGATAATAGGGGAAATATTTTTGCTTAACTATCACGTCCAGATAAAATGATAACGTTATTGACATAACAGAAGCCTATCAACTGTCCAGACAAGATGCTTCCAAACCAGAGTGAAGAAAATACACACAAAACTATCACTATGTCAGAAAGTCATGAATCAATTTAATCTGGTTTTCTGTGACTTTTAGACAGTGCTACTCTAGCCTTAATGGGGACCCCTCGCTGTTCCCTCCCAGACATTCTCAGTCCAGAGGACCTTCTAAAGAAGAGGAAGAGGAGGAACATGAGGAAGAAGAGATACAGTTTGTCAGGGATGAGCTGGGATAAGACGAATATCACCTGGAGGTGAGGTTTCTCTCCCGCAGTGAAATTCAAACACTATGATAGAGGTGCACTCACTGGCCACTTTATTGAAAACCCTTCCTTTGTATCTTCACCTTGCTGGTGTAGAGTTAGAAGCCCATGAAGATTATAGTTTTATAGTAGTGTTATGACCTCAAATGTCTTGGGATAAATTAAGGTTGTACATAAAAAAGTATACCAACGCCAACCAACTGCCAGACCAAGACACCACAAACTACAAGTAATTGACCAATTATCAGCATTTATTTCTTTTAGTCAGTCAAAGGCACCAACTTGTAGAAAAAAAGTACTTTGCCTCTCTAGCTTTAAACTGATCAAGAACATTTGTGATCTTACTGAAGAAAAAAAAACTTCAGGGAGTAAGCTAATGCCGAAAACAAACTAGAAACCAAAAAAATAACTAAACACATCACATTAATTCACAAACAAATCCTCAGGTGGTTGGTCTGGTCACGTGGAGGCTGATGGCACAGGTACGACCACTGGAACAGCCCTCTCCTCCTGCAGTGCGTCTCTGCCCCATAAGTAGCTGGAGCGCCTCCTGCTGTACCCAATTAGAGAGTTCCAGACATTAACCCTAAGGGAAAAAGTGATCAGCGAGAAAGAGAGAGCACAAAACAAAACACCACATACGTCCAGGATCATAACAGTAGTTACTCAATAATTTAACTGAATAATAAGTCTTAAAGGAATACTGCAGTGTTTTTAATCTCATCTCTGTCTGCTGCATTTACATTACATGGTTCAGTTTCTATGGGTGATCATTTCAATATGTTTACTTTAAAAAGAAAAGAAAGCTCACAAAAAAACTCTGAAAAGGTAATCCCATTCCACCTGAAAGAACACAATGTACAGATTTATGTTTTAGATTAAAAATGCCTTCATAATATGTTCAAAGAGATGTTCTACAAAAGTGCATGTTTCACATAAATAAAATTTAGCAACTGCCTATTAGCTTCTGTTAGAAGTCAACAGGTTTTCTGTTCGTTTCTAAGTACAGGGAAACATGTTCAGATTATTGTCTGTGGTAATAAACCATCCGAATCAGATGCAGCACATAGAGACTAGTTTAAAAAACACTGAAATATTCCTTTAATAACAAAATAATAAGCCTATGGATCCTAGAGTTCAACCTCCTTACCCTCCACCCATCTCTCTCTCTCTCCTCTGCAGTGTAGAGAGTTTCCCCTCTCTCTCCCACTCTCCCTCACTGACACCTGCCCTGGTGGAGCTCATCCTGTCCTATGCTCTGAAAGTGTGGGGCGACGCGGCCCCCCTCAGCTTCACCCTGCTCCGCCCATCCCCTCATGCCCCGCCCCACAGCGCCGACATTAAAGTGAGCTTCACCAGGGGCTATCATGACGATGGATATCCCTTCGATGGCAAGGGGGGCACACTAGCTCACGCTTTCTTTCCAGGAATAGGTGACACACACTTTGATGACGAGGAGAACTGGAGCTACGGAGGTACTAAAATGCATTTCTTCGTTGCAAAGAACGGAAACTTGCAGTTACTCACATATCAGTAACTTATGTGTGTGCATGCATAAATTCACACATTTTCCCACTTACACCAAATATAATTGATCAGCCAAGACATGTTTGGTGTCTGAAATTTGCTTCTTTATTTTTTTTAATTAGCCTTGTGTTAACTGCTTTCTTAAATTATCACACATTTAATCCAAATCATGTTGAGTTATTAAAACATTTTTGCTGATGTGGTTGTTTCTAATACTGAATTGACAGTAGAAACGGACAAATCATGTCACATGGCTAAAAATGCTCTTAGGAGGTTGTGAGTCACCCTGTAAAACTTAAATCTGTTTTACACACTAAAACTACACAATTTTAGCCCCGATTTTCCTTTGCCAGACACACATTTGAGATCTGTGACACAACATAAACACATTAACAACTACAAGTTCCTCCAGCTCCAGTTTGGCATGTGTTCTTTTATATGACATACTGGGATTTTATCATCAGATGCTCTTTGTCACAGATCTCTAGGTGTGAGAACATGCGTTCTTTCTGGGCCACAGCTCTGCAGAGTTTAGCATTCCCTCTTTTCACACTTCGAATTGAACTCTTGAAGGCCTCGATAATTAGCTGGTGAGCTGAATTAGGTATCGCAGAAGCAATGCCACCGTTTATGTAGCGTATGCTCAGCTACGTCAACAAACAACAGATCGCGACCAATACATGTTGTGTAGTGTGAGCAGTATAATGATTGCTGTCTCCACTTCGTATAAATGTTCACTCAAAAATTGCCTGCAATTACATATTTCCACCAGAATCTCCAAATCACCAAACCTATGCAGTGCTGCTTTAATTGCTTTATGGCACTTGTCACCAACTCCTCTCTGGCGATTTACCTTCCCCAATCTAATGCACTTCATTCAGCTAATTCAGGGCTGTGTTTGAAATAGCCTACCACATACTGCTTGCGTACTGTTTGTGCCCAAAAGAAGTAACTAAGATTCTTTATGTGACCAATAGTATGTCAAAGGTACTCAGATGACATACGACTTTGGCAAAATATTCCAGTATTTGGGCAGAGCTGTCTTCATAATATACTGCAACGTGGTCATTTGAGGGGGATGTAACCACTGATGTTACCACCTAACTTACTCCGAAAAATTGAATAGCCTGGGATTTCGATAACATAATTAAAACAGTAACATAATAAAGTTGGACTTCAACAGTCAGCTCAGCATCGGCTTTTCAGACTATCGTGTGGAGTCGTACTGCTTATTATTCAGTCAGACTAGCTCATATTACCAACTACGAATGTAAGGAAAATGAAATGACCCACAAAACAGGTGTGTTTGGAAACCACACAGGTTTACCACACGGCCAAATCTAAAGCTGACATTTTTACATTTGTTTTTGGCTTTGAAAATAAGTAGAAAAACTCTCAAAACTCAGCAGGCATGTTTTCTGACCAAAATATATCCACATGTGTTGCTAAAGACCTGACCTAAAAAACAGCTGGATAGTTGCTAAGCAGTAATTGGAGGGCTGAGGAAAATAGACGGGTCCTGAGATCAGTCTGTTTGGCTCAGTCCCTGATGTTGACAGTATAGCCGTGCCCCTTTCCTGTAGTACGGCACACAGATTTTGTTGTATACTGGATACTGTACTGTGTGCAACTATAAAGAGCAGCATGCGGTATACAGTATAGACTAGTGCAGTGCGCAGTAAGTAGTATAGTATGCCTTTTTAAATGCATCCAAGGATTTCTGAGGGCAGTAATTAGAAGGATCTGGTGAGGCTGGAGCTAATATCTGCAGGAAGGTTGATCTCCAAAAGCACTTCTTTAAGAGATTTTTAAAAGTTTCAGGAATTTAATTTTGATTCTTTTGTGTTTTCCCCTCAGTTGAAGGCAGAAGCACAGATCTGTTCACGGTGGCTGTTCATGAATTCGGCCACGCCCTAGGCCTCACACACTCCTCCTCCAGACACTCCATCATGAGGCCGTACTACAGCGGAGCAGTGGGAGACATCCCAACTTACACGCTGCCTGCAGATGATAGACTTGGCATACAGGCACTTTATGGTACACACCAGAAAACATACACACAAACACAATTCCTGTAGTAACCCAAGTTGTCGAATAAAGCCTTATCATGCTTATACTCCCTGCAGGAACAAGAAAGGATCTGACTCCGCCTCCCACTGTCGATCCGCCCACACCCAGTCTGCCACCCCGACATGCAACACCACGGTACGCGGTGATGATGATGATGCTAAAACAACGGCAAATACTGCTTCTTTGATAATGACAGTGTTTGTTTCCATTGTTCTCTTTAAGCCCAGACCCATCTCTTCTGGATCGATGTCAAGGCGGTTATGATGCTATCGCGAACATCAGAGGAGAAGTGTTCTTCTTCAGGCGTAAGGGGTTGAAACTTACATCAGAGTCTAGTTATGCTGGTTATTTCCATCTGCTTCTCATTCAGCTATCAGCCTTTTTTTTCGTTTTTCATTGTTTCTCTTGTTTTCTCTCTATTTTTTGTCTTTCAGGCCAATACTTCTGGAGGGTGCACCACTCAGGCTCGCTAATGTCTTTTATTCCAGCTGTAATTCACAACTTCTGGATTGGTCTTCCTCCTGAAATAGACAAAATTGATGCGGTATATGAGAGGAGTGATGGCCACATTGTCTTCTTTATAGGTGAGAGAGATCAAAGAGCCTAATAAGTCCACATTCATTTTTAGAACATTAAACCTTTAATTTGTGATGTGCCTGTATTAGAAACGCCTACCTTGTGCTTTCACTCAGTGGCCACTTTATGAGCTCTACCCACCTAATAGGTTGACAATATAGCTATACCTATATATAGTTGTACAGTTACAGACTGTAGCCCATCTGTTGCAGTTCATCAACCCCCCTTTTACCCCCTTTTTTGTTCAGTATATTGTCGCTAGGCATGAAAAACCTAGTAACTCTATTTTTCTCTATTTTTTACACCGTTTGATAATGCCTCTGCCAATTTCTATCTCCTGTAAAGTTCAGATTTTGGGGATGTACAGTTTTATTACCACAGCAGCACAGCTGTACATAACATACACTATGTGATGCTAAATACTAAGCCAATTTTCTCTCAATTTAACTAAGTAGTTTGGATAATTTACACCAAATAAATTATTGAAACTAGTTGACAGATATTGGTAATGCAGTTGTTTTAATTTAGATAAGGCAAGTTAAAAGCAATGGTGTATGACTTCATCAAGCACAAAAAAAAATTAAATTAAATTAAAAAAATATTTGAAGGAAATAAAATAAAAATATATGCACCAGTGTCACTGTTCGGTTGAGAGCGGAAAGCCACCCAAAAACATCCAGGCAAGAGCAGCTCTGTGGTCAGAAACTGACCGCTGATGAAGGACTAGAGGTTGGCTAATACAAACTGTGCATTACCAGATGAGCTACAGTCTCTCACAGTACACCAGCAAGGTGGAGCTACAAGAGAGGGGTTTCTAATTAAGTGGATGAACAGTGTACTGCACTTCAGACCTGCCTGCTTATTTTGACATTTTTTCTAGGTGACCAGTACTGGGTGTTTAGAGACAGGACGTCCCTCCCTGGCTACCCTCAGCCGCTGACGCGGTGGAGAATGTGGAATTCTGCAGGAGAGGCTCCAGCACGAGTAGATGCTGTGTTTGTGTGGCCCCATAATGGTAGGACCTACGTGTTTAGTGGTGGAGAATACTGGAGGTTTGATGAGGCAAACTCAGACAGGAGACCTGAGGCAGGCTACCCCAAACCAGCCTCCATCTGGGGAGAACCCTCTGACCCTGATGATATCATTGGCATGCGAGATGGTAAGAGTTATGTTCGAAACAACCACCTATTCACTCTGTAGTGCACTATTCTGAGACTTGTGGTGTCTGAAAATACAGTGGAGAAAATTCAGTGCTCACTCTTACAGTCCCACAATGCACCACAATAGGTAGTGTACAAATGATGAACGCTAGTAGACACTAAATACCCCCAATGCACTGTGTGTGAATGTGAATGTGATTACTAGGCTGCGTCCAGAAACCCTGAAAGTCCTTGCTTTTTCCTACCTATCAGAGAACTTGTAGAGAGGAGAATTATCACTCTGTAATGTCTTCCGGGTTTCTCAAACGCTAGAGGGCGCTCCCGAGTGAGTCCAGAATGAATGGGTTAAGATGGAGCATTTAAGCAAAATCATAGTTTATAAATACATTTTTAATGTAAAAGAATACATTTATTTCCTCCTGTAAGTTCATAACGTCAGTGAGCGTGAACAGCCAATGAGCTGCTCTGCTCGCCAACCAGCACTCAGTAGCAGTAATGTTAGCGTCCTGCTGCCCAAAACCCGTTTGCTGTAGAAAAAAAAGAGTTTTCTTTGCTGTTGTAGTGAAATACATCCTTCTACTGTCTAAAATTAAAGGAAAGTTCTGGGCGAGTGATTAGAAACTATTTGAACTTTTAGTTTTTAGCCATTTTGCTCCATTCACCCCCATTTATTGAGGACTCGCTCGCAGGCGCCCTCTGGCGTTTTGCAGTCATGTTTTTGATATAACGGGGGAAATAGGAAGAGGCCGGGCTCCTCATAAACCAGCTCTGCTACTGATCCTCCTCCTCTCCTTTCGTAACCCGGAAACCCGGATTTCGTGATGCCATCTTACCGGCTGTCCGAATCCCAGTGGAAACGAGAGAAGCCCCTCCAAACAGCTGTTGAAGGATACGCCAAGCAGAGAGGATGGACAAACATGAATCGATCCGCCTACACTTCGACTCATATGTTTTCTTTTGGTTAACAGTGTGCTACACAGGGCTCCTGGTGTTCTAATGTAGAGAAGGGTGAATTAGGGGACCACAGAGTTAGATCTACAACCGTTGACCTAAATGGTCATTTCTTATGTCATCTTTACCTCTGACTAGCCTAACTGTTGTAATATCTTCTAGGAGATACCTATTTCTTCAAGGGCGCATCTTACTGGATATTAAAGAGAGGCAGACTGGACAAGGACGCCACTTCACCAAAGTCCATCGCAGCCGACTGGATGAAATGTGATGATTTCCTAAGTTCCCCTCACAAACCCAGAGACCGAGGATGTGGCTGTAACACAGGCGGAGCAGCTTCGGTTCAAGCATCTCTGCAGTTAATTGTTCTCTTTGTCACAACAGCTTTATGTTATGTTAATTATTATGTGCCTTTTAGTTGTTTAATGATGTACAGTATTTCTTCATGATCAGGTCATTTTTCCCAGTTATTCAAGCCTAATAGTGTTAAATATTTGCACCGCCTCTTACATTCTGTGATTTTTCATGTTTATTCTGTTATGTTGCTCTGCTTTTTTCTACTTTTTTAATGAAATTGTATTGTTTCCTACGGAGCCACACTGGTGACATCCCATATAAATAAGAATAATGCGTGGCCACGCCTTATTAACGCGTGGAAACAAGATCCTAATGCTTGGCAACGACTTAGTAAGGCATTATCTCGATCCCATGCCTTACTAAGTCGTGGCCACACATTATTTTTATTCCTACAGGATGACACCAGCGATAGTTATAGCGATAACACACTTGTCGAGTATTCTACTGCTTTTATACAACAGTGAAATAAATAAAGTAATAAATTAATAAACTGGGCCGTGAACGCGGCGTTTAATATGTTTTAATGTTTGCAGTTCCTTCCGCCAAATTATAGTTCCTTAACAAGCAGCTCGTTGCTACGTCAGAGTAACGAGCTCCGCTCACTCGCTGCACAGCCGGCAGTTCGTTCTCCAGCTCCTTACACTAAATTCCCAAACTGTCATCACCACTGAGCAGCTTTTCAGTCGGCAGCTGTGACAGAAGAACAGCTAAGCAACCTGGAATCAGCCAGAAATGAACCCAATACCATTTGCCAAACATGGAGTCTCACCAAATCAGACTGAGCCACAAAACTGCTGCAATATCAAGTTTAGCTCAGTTTTGTCAAGTTTTGCCAGATCAATATTCATGTTTTGTTCCAACCAGTCTGTAAAGCGTCTTACAGCCATTTAGTTTGGCGAACGGTATTGGGTTCATTTCTGGCTGATTCCAGGTTGTTTAGCTGTTCTTCTGTCACAGCTGCCGACTGAAAAGCTGCTCAGTGGTGATGACAGTTTGGGAATTTAGTGTCGTCTCATCTTCAGAGTCTGACCAAATCGGCTGTCGGTCAAATGTGATCTTAAAAGTGTCCATTTTCTGTTTCTGCTCAAAGTAAGAAGTAAAAACGTTCAAATGGCTTGAGCGTCTCCTACAGCTGTCAAAGTCGTTGCTTAGCAGCGGCTTCTGAGCAGAGTGATACAGTGTTTGTGAAAAAAACGTGATGTTATGGTGAAATAACAGCAGCTAGAACACTTCTCAACCAATCAGCTTGCGTGGCCTGAACTAACTGTTGTATAATATGTGACTATTTTGGGTTTTTCTTTATATTATGTGAGATTTGTTTTATATTAAATAAAAACATTTCCAACCACATCTCATTTTTCTGTATACATAAAAATCGTTATACTATACGCTTAAAAAGGTGGTTTTCGAGGGTTCTTTAGTAAAGAAAGTGGTTCTATAAACAACCATGAACAATCAAAAAACCCTTTGCATGATTAAAGCGTTCTTTGCATCATGAAAGAGTTCATAAGAATTTGCTGTAGATGGTTCTTTACAGAACCTTTTTGAAAAGGGTTCGATGCAGCACCAAAAAGAGTTTTTCTGTTGTTACGATGTAAAGCTTGTGACAAGAGAAGAACCCTTTTGGGTGCTTTATAGCAGGGGTTCTTAACCTTTTCCACCTCAAGGCCCACCTGTTTATCACTAGAAAGCAGGAAGGCCTACAAGAAAACAAAACTCAATGTTTTTGCTTAAAAAGGATGTCATTTTTGGGAAATTTTCAACACTGTGATATGTGGGGGCTACTCTTGTAATATGTGATGTGTATTAGTGAACATTAAATATTAGCAGAATATACAGTTCAGGTGTTTCAAGATGCAAAGGGCAAAAAATGGACAAAGCTGCCTTTGTTATTGTGAAGCTTGTGTTAATATTATTAACTGACAAACCTTTTATATTCCTTTTTTTATTGTGAAGTCAAATATTTTATCACTTATTTTTATGACAAAGTGCCATCACAGGCCCACTACAGACCACTGGCCCCCCTCAGTATGGGTCCAAGGACCATCAAGGGGTGCTTCGCGGCCCACTTGTGGTCCTCGGCCCAGTGGTTGAGAAACCCTGCTGCAAAGCACACTTTTCAAAAAGGTTTTACACAGAACCATCTACAGCACGTTCTCCATCAATGTGAAGAACCCTTTCATGAGGCAAAGAACCCTTTAATCATGGGAAGGGTTCTTCCAGTGTTCTTGGTTATACATACAACCATTTACTTTACTAAAGAACCATCTTTTTTAAGTGCATACCCGATTTATCAAATACCACGTAAATCTCTGTTGTGTATTACAACATAAAAGGGAATCCTGACGTTTTATATTGAAAACGTACTGCATAATTAAGTTATGATGACGTCAAAGTTATTCAGAGTTCTCCGTGAAACTTGCAGAGTCAGGATAGTTCGCAGCAGTTGGACTCGGAACCAGACGTCTAAAGAGTGTAATACCCATAAATCCTCTCTCACGGAGGGTTATTAGATGACATGGTTATGAAAATGCCACCTGACGTCTGAGAGAGAATATTCAACGAGCGATATAAGGTATGATTTGTACGTAAAACATATTTTAAAGACAGGCAGATTCAGAACTTTGTGAGGCAAAATAGTCCGCTAAGAAAACGGATTTCAAGTTTTATCTTTATTAACATTACATAAACAATCAGAAGACACATAGCAACATGGATAGTGAATAAAATACCAATATTTGTCCTTAATATGCGAAATATATGTACTCAAACCTTAAATGGCGCAGCAGTCACTTTCTGGTACCTGAAGCTGCACCATTTAAGGTGGAACGGGAAAATCCGAACAAGAAGCTGGCAAATAAGAAGCTAACTTCAGCTTCGTGTATGAAGGTGCTAACGTTAATCTATTACGACTATCTACACGGATTAGGGAATGCTATAACTACAAGCATTAACCATCATTGTAAATAAATAACTACTACATAAAGTTAAGATCCTCTGAATAAAATATAAAATGAAATAAGCTTAATATAAAACCAGAGGAAAAACACATCATTATGTTCTCTGTGCTTCACCAACCACACGACCATATCTAACTAAACATCACACAAACAAGAGTGTGGATCGCTGCGTTCCCTCCGTTATATAATCCTATCCCTCTTTCTGAAAGCAATATTCTTGAAATAGAGTAATTTTGGACAGTATCTTTCTTAAACTGACGCTCTGTAATGGTACTGAACGCAGTCCAGTAGACTCAACACAGCGTCTAGGTATGTAGATTTAAGCTCTGGGCTCATTGAAAAATCCGAGTTTCCCATTAGTAAATGCGACGGTTTGTGGTGGTTTTCGACAGGACTTGGAGGCAGCGTAAGCGCCGGAAGGCAGAATTGTGGGAAATGTAGTTCATGATCTCGGCGCGTCTTATCGCGTGACGTTCCAGTGACGATATTTTCTTCACTGCAGCCCGAACGTTACGCACCTCGGTGGGATTTTAGCGAACTGTTGGCTTTAATCGCGTCAGTATTTTTCATCGAGTCTCCTTCGGCTGCTTGTTGGCCGCCTGCGAAGAAGCGCCAGTTCTCGTTTTCTCCGTTAACGAGGAACAAAGAGGTACGCAGGTTAGCTGTGTTAGCCGGCTAGCTAACTTGTCGTTAGCAGACATGCGCAGGATTAGCGTTAGCTGGGCGCTTTGGCAGCCCGTTTTTTTTTTAATTTGTCACGAAAATAAAAACATTTCGTTCGTCACTGCTGATTAATATGCGATATATTCCAGATAAACAGTTGGCTTTGCTTAATTTTCTCCAGAACGCGGTGGGACTGTTAGCTGGTAGCTAATTAAAGCTAAGTTAGTTGTGGCCTTGCTGCTGAGGCCAGATTTAGCCAACATTCAGACCACCAGTGATTTTTCTTTTCTATCCAAATGAAGGACTTTCCTGTTACGATGCTTCTTTCTTGAAGGTTAATTTGTATTTGTTGCATTTCAGTGAAAGAGTTTGACCATGTTCGTGTTTTCTCACGCGCTGTGCTGACCATATGACCATAGATGCCATTACTAATAACTGGCCATGCTGGTTGGGCAGCTAATGGCATTAACTGGCTGTATCTGTCTGCTTTCCCAAACTGACGGATAATTAGCCTTTGGTCATTAAGGCTCAAGTATAAGCGTGTCGTTTATTGGCAAACTGGCAGACTATCCAGATCAACCTAGTCCATTCAGGCTTACGTTCAGTCCACCACGTTACTTGGTTTAAGCTCAGTTCTTCAAAGTTTGGCTGAAATTTGAGTTTATTTTGGGCCAGCCGCCGTAATTCTGTTCGAGGACACATTTCTGCATAATTTAGTGGTCAGTTAAGATGTAAACAAACTCATTCAGAGTGGTTTACGCTCCCTGATGCATGAGACGTTGTCCTATGATAGTTTTGTGATAAAGGTTTGGCCTGAAACTTATTTTAATCCATTTCTTTGAATCGATTCAGGGTGGAGGGGTACATGCAGGGCGTTGTGAGGCAAAATAGTCCTCAAAGAAAATGAACTTTTGTCAGATTTACCACTATTTTATCATCATCATTAGCATCACATGTAAAAACTAGAAAGACTCACTGGTGAGTTTTATTTTTATATTTGTTATTTTTTGGATAGTAAATAAGATGGTAGTATTCGTGTTGTAGACATGGAGACCCCTGGTTCCCATCACCACCACTGTAAAGAGTTTGTAACTTTTTCTACAACGAACCATTTCACATCAAACCTCTCTGAATGACTGTTTATATCGCAACAATGGAATTATGCAAAAATTTTGGAAAATCTGTGGCATTCCCCTTTAAGTGTTCCCATTACAGCTGTAAGCCATATAGGCTGGTAATGGTACCTTTGCTGGCATAAAGTCTGCCACACCTGTTGAAAAGTGGAAGAGAGGCAGAACGTTTTAGCTGACTGGGTGGAACATATAAGGCTGTTAACTCCTAGCAGCGGCTGCAGTGTTCAGACAGTAAAATCTCGGCTGTGTGAAATGAGTAACAGTTAGAAGGAGATGGACTGTTCGTTAGATATGACTTTAGCCTGTATTTTTTCAGCCATAAACATTAGTTAGTGATATTTTAATGCATCTGCAATTCACTTCTAGACGTATCATCATCTGAGAAGTGTCTAACATCTATTCTGTACCTTCTCTTTTCCTCTTTCTCCAGAGAAGAGATGTATAACGGTATTGGACTGACCACGCCGCGAGGCAGTGGCACCAACGGCTACGTACAGCGGAACCTTTCCAGCATCCGTTCCAAACGCAGCAGAGACGAGCGTGGAGGAGTGAAGGATGAGAAGGAGCG